TACCAACATGGAAACTGAATGTTCAGGTGAGCCTGTACATACTCCTAACGATTTGAAGAACTTGGTCAATACATACAATAATATTCACCAGAGTGTTGAAATTAAACTTGGGCATATCATTTATCTTTGGATGGAAAATGCTAAAGAAGTTGTTCCAATTGTAAACATACTTGAAGAAATTTTTAAAGAAAGACAACCTGATAGTTTCAATAATACCAGTGCACAATTACACAATTCTGTTAGACGTTCATGTAATGTGTTTAAAAAATTTAGAGTAACTAACCAATGGCCTAAAATTGTTGAATTTCTGGAAAGACCATTTGTTTTGCCACAAACTAAACCTAAACCAGTGGTGGTCCAAGAAGAGCAAGAAGTTCAAGTGATGCAGCCAGAGCAAGAAGTTGTAGTTGAAGAAGGAAGTAAGAAATTAAAAACTGACTGTTCAAAGTGTGCGCTAAAAAGAAAATCTACAACTATTTTGGTCAAGACAAATAAAAAGTTAAAAATGCAAGTCAAGGAATTTAAAATGGAACTAGAAACCAACAAAGTTTATAAAATTAAACACTTGAATCAAAGAATAAAAAGACTAACAGCACAACTCGAACAACAAAAACAAATAAATGCCCAATTAAAAACAGCCCACAAAAAGCCTACAGCCAAAAAGTCCCCACCCAAATGGTCCCCACCCAAATGGTCCCCCCCCCAAAGGTCTCCTACACAAAAGTCCCCTTCTAAAACCTCACCATCCAAGTCCTCACCTTCCAAAGTTTTAAAGCCAGCTGTGGTTAATATAGAAAAACAAAGGAAATTAAAAATCAAAAGCTTAAACCAGGCTAAAAGAAGATACATCAGGATGATAAATTATTTAAAACAGGAATTAAATGAAAAGGATAGCATTATTTCACAGTTGAAGAAAACTGTTAAACAGACCAATGAAATGTACGACTATTTGTTAGCTGAACTCGAGGAGAGTAAGGCAGAAAGACCAGAAAAAAAAATATTGAAAGAGGGAAAGACATACAGTACAGAGACACGGTTATGTATGTATAGAGCCCTAATTAACAATGTTTCTGTAGGTGCTGCTGGTCAGCTGCTAAAGTTTTTCCTGGAGCAGGAAGCTGGATTTGTAATTGACTGTGTGCCTCAGCAGTCTACAGTGGCTCAAATGGCCTATGAAATAGGCATTTTGGCTGACCTGCAGGTTGCTGAGACACTGGCATCTCATGACAGCATAACGTTGTCGTGGGATGCCACTTCCATTGACGGAAGTCATATTAATGAAGTCCATATTTCTGCTCCAGGAAAAACTTTAGCTCTTGATGTGAGACCTTTACCAGGTGGCAAGGCCGTGGACTATGTTGAACACATCAGTGTTGAACTTAGGAATGCAGTTAATATTTATTGCAGGTTTCATAATGTTGAGAATATGGAGGAGAAGTACTTCTCACTGATATGCTCAATAAAGTCCACACTAACAGATAGGGCGCCTGTCAACCATAGTGCTGTCACTCAGCTCAGCACTTTGTTTGACACGCACCTTCTGGAATTAAACTGTAATGTTCATGTCCTGGACGGATTAGCTACGGGTGCTAAAAAAGCGCTGGAGGTTGATATGGGCCATAAGACATTAAACTGTATTTTAAGCATATCAAAGCTTAGGTACAAACAAAGCAGTGGGGACCCATGTGGGTTCAAGGCCTTTTGTAGAGATAAAGGAATTATAGTAGGAGAGTTTGTCCGGTATGTGGGTAACCGGATGCATGTCCTGTTCCATTCAGCAGGCATCATCATTTTTCATCTGGATGCCCTCAAAGAGTTTGTAAACTCAGAAAAACCATCCAGTTTAAAAGTAACTATAGGTGAGCAGCTAAATGACCCTAGGGTAATAGCTCAACTCACTGCTCTTGGGCTTATTGGAAAATCCATAACTGGGCCATGGATGACTAAGTTTTATTCAGATACCAAGAATTTGGCCATGGTTCCAGTGATTCAAAAGGCAGAAAAAGTTATGGAGAGATTTTCCAATGACCCAGAAGAGCTAGTCAGACCCACTGTGAATGTCTTCGATGAGCTCCTTAGTGCTGACAAGGATTTGGTGTTGTCAGCACTCATCAAAATTGGTGAAACCCACAGGGGTGAAGTAAAGAAAGCTCTGACAAATATCTTGAAGGAGATCAAAAAAATATTTAACCGCCAGTTAGCTCGATACACCCATGGTGATCTGTCTGACCCCACCCCCCAGCAGTTGGCACAAGCTTCAACTGCTTCATCGCATAACATGGCATCTGAGCGGATCTTGGGCATGACGGACTACTTGTTGCGACGTGCCCCCCATGCGACTAGTGGTTTTATAGATGGTAAGATTAGAGGGAGGGTTAATGACACAGTCGGGTGGCTTTTAAGACTTGACGGAGAGGAGAGACAGAAGCTAGTTAAGTTTGCTATTGGTGAGGGGAGTAGGGCGAGGAAACTGGCAGTTGAGAGGAAGAAGTTGACAGAACAGGAGATAAGTCGGAGGCTTAAAGATGGTAAGCAGAAGAGAGACAAATCCAAACGTAAGTCTTTGGAGGCTGCGGTTGGATCTGCTCTTAATGCTAAACATCTGAGGGCTGATGTCTTTTCTGCTGCTTCTGCTGTGGTTATGGATTTAGTATCTAAATCTATAGCTACAGACGACCCTGTCTCTCAGCTGTCGGAATCCTTTGTAGGCAGCTTAGTTAGTCATTTATGGGTAGAGGGGAGGGAGGGGGAGGAGAAGGAGATAATGTATTTTGGTAGGTTTGTAGAATTTAGGCAGTTGAAGGCAGGTATTATGTGTACGTTAGCTTATTGGGGGCTCGATGACGTAGAAACAGCTAGTGAAGACTATGACTTGACAATGAAATCTGTAGTAACGGACTTACTGCTAGGGGATATGACGTTTGTTAGTTAGGTTGACTGTCCCCAAGAACTGCCTAGGTGTCCATGTTATACTTGGCCACCCCTGATAAAGTCTCACTATTGTATATACTTCTTTACTTTGTTTCTCTTTTTTATGTAATATAATTTTTTTAATATTTCATGTCCTATACTTAAGGTGTACATACATTTTTACTTAGTTTTTTTGTTGCATGTGTTTATTTTTACACAGTTATGTGTTTATCGATTTTGTAAAAATGACAGTTGTGTTGCAATACCAAACATTGATTTAAACAATTAAAAATTTAAGTCAGTTTGCCTTTCAATATAATACTCACCACTGACATATTACATTGTCAGAGGTAAGTTGTGTGGCTAAAGTTTACAGTAGCTGACTGCAAAATGTTAATCTGTTTTATACTACATCATGTTTATTCTGAACATCATTGTCAGTTTGCCATTCAATATAATACTCACCACTGACATATTACATTGTCAGAGGTAAGTTGTGTGGCTAAAGTTTACAGTAGCTGACTGCAAAATGTTAATCTGTTTTATACTACATCATGTTTATTCTGAACATCATTGTCAGTTTGCCATTCAATATAATACTCACCACTGACATATTACATTGTCAGAGGTAAGTTGTGTGGCTAAAGTTTACAGTAGCTGACTGCAAAATGTTAATCTGTTTTATACTACATCATGTTTATTCTGAACATCATTGTCAGTTTGCCATTCAATATAATACTCACCACTGACATATTACATTGTCAGAGGTAAGTTGTCTGGCTAAAACCATCAAGAGTTTTTAAAAATTTGAACTGAAATGAATGTTAGGTATTGCAATACGCCACAGTGAATCTGAACACTGAAGACAATTTAATGTCAACCTTACTGTTTGAAAAACACAAAACTGCTGGTTTATGTATATATTTTTAATTTTGACTTTTCCAACTTAAATGACATGTACATTAATTACAATTTTTATTGTCTTGAATGTGTAAATATGTACATAAAACATTGGATTTTTAAAGAATTTACTTGTTACTTGTCCTCTGTTTTGCGTTGTACAGAAATGCTGGTTCATCAACTTCATTGACATGTATATTGATTACAATTTTATTGTCTTATATTTGTAAATATGTACAGAAACATTGCATTTTAAAATAATTTACTTGTAACTTGATGTCTGTGTGTATTGTGTCATACAGAAATGCTGGTTCATATAACTGATTTAAAACTTTTTCAACTTCATTGACATGTACATTAAACATTTTTTATTGTCTTGTTTGTGTAAATATGTACATACATTATACATAAGCCTATTTGATAATTGTAAACTTATACTTGTTTGTTATTGTGTCTATTGTGTTGTGTAACTCCACCATTGCCTGGTCCCCAGTCCAGGATGAAAAAGGAGGAGGGGACATTCACAATTTTTGGTGTTTCCAATATCTGCCAACCCTATTCATTAAAAATTTTTTTTAAAGCTATTTATCAATCCTGGTTACTTTTAGCTATCTACATTCATTTCTAAGCTATTTTAATATGCTTCAGTTAAGTTTCATTGAAAAATGTTGAAAAATAATCCAGATATCCACTCATGAAATCAGGTCACAGGTCTAGGAGTTTTTTCTTCATTAGCTATGCCACACGGACCCATGACTTTGGAATTTTTTTTCAGTCATAATGACTTTGCACAGAAAGTTTAAATATGCTAAATTGACTTAGTTTACCATTGTCCTAGCTATTGCTGATACTTTTTAAAAAAAAAAAAAATTGTTTAATTTTTCACCAAAATGCCTATACCCAGTCTCTTTGTTTTTTTTTTTTTCATTTGTTAATTTGTTAAAACAAAAATCCAATACAAATAAATAAATCGTGTTTTCCTTATGTTTTGGTGTATTTCGGTTATTATAATAAAATACGCTCAGCTGGAGGTAAACAAGAAGCGGAGAATAAAATACGCTAAAATTGAGTTTTACCGAAAAAATTATAAAAATAGAGTCCAGGCCTAGGCCGAACTTTTATTTTAAAAATTACATTAGGGTCTACTAAGCTGTAGAATGTAGATCTATTATATTAGCAAACTGCCATACCTGAATAACTTGCCAGCGCAATAATACAGAGTACAACAAAAGAATTCATTTTCTTTAGAATCAATCCTATGCGGGAGAAGCAGGGCCTCGTGAAGGGATTCAGTATTCTGTCTGATTTGTTTGTCCCCCTGATAGCAACAATTCTTCGTCACTTCCTACTTCCGATAGAAAATAGGCCAGATAATCTAAAAATAGTTATGAAATTAAGGGCCAAATAAATGTAATTAAAAATAGCAGTGTCAATGTGATTTTAGTTCAATTAATATTTTCAGGTCAAGCTAAAATATAGAAGAAAAAACATTATTTTTTTAATTAAAACCTTAATACGTAGGCTGCTACATAATTTTAAAAAACAATTTCTCTCTTAGGGGTCATCCATAAATGACGTCACGCTTTTTTTGACGATTTTACCCCCCCCCTCCCCTCCGTCACACTTCGTCACAAAAAGCCAGACCCCCCCCCTAAAATGACGTCACACCTCAACCTACAACCCCCCTCAAAATTGCAGTTGAATTTTTTTTAAACATTGATATTTTTCCAAAATCTTGTCTAAACTATTACAATTTATTAAAACAGTTATCTAAAACGCGAAATAACGTCTAAAATTCGTTTTCTAACATTGCTTTTTTATAATGCAAAAATGTGACGTCGCAACATCTGACCCCCCCCCCCCCCCCCTTCCCCCTCATCACACATCGTCACAAAATTACGGACCCCCCCTCCCCCCTACGAGTGTGACGTCATTTATGGATGACCCCTTACTAGACTTAAAGACCAGATCTAGATTCAAGATAAACAAGTAATTAAAAAAAGTCTAGTGACAATTTTAGCGCAATTTCCTTGTGTTATCTAAAAATAGCTCTGTCGTAGCGTAAATCAAGAGCAGGCTTAGTAAAACCATTGGTTAGTTATTAAAACGTTTTTTATTAATTTTTTTTTCAGTATTTTACATGTTTTATTTACAATGGAGTAACATGACTAAAAACCATTGCGCGCCCAGCTACCGAACGTGACGTCGCAGCTATTGAACGTGATGACGCGTGTGGTGTGGTTGCATAAAATGCCTACTAATTCGGTCCAAATTTTAATTAATTCAAAAAAATTTTGTGACCAAACGAAAGGATATTTTTGAAAACTTTCTTCGGCAATATTGTTTTAAATTATGGCAGGAATCGATTGGTACATGTTTCAAGTCGCTAAGTGGTCTGGTTGCCGAGATATGGGTCAAAAACTGCATTTTTTCGAGGTTTTTTGGCTTTTCCGGGAAATCCATGAAAGAAACCCGGAATTTTTATGGCCTATGTTTGTCCTCGTAACTTGCTTAACATAATTGTTTTTGTAACTAGTCATCGATATTGCTTCGTTGAGGAGGAGATACGACTTAAAGCTGCGGACACACATTCATCCATCCATCCATCCATCCATCCAGAAATGACGGGTTAATAAACGCAATTCTCCAGAATGGAAATTGCGCTAATAAAAAATTACAATGGATCCCTACCACTACCATGAAAATAGTCTTGAGAACTAATTAAACTTAATTATCAAATAAACAACAAATGTATGCTCTTTGATACAAAAATATATTTATACTGAATTTAAAAAACAAACAATTTAAGCTCGTTTTTAAAAGGACTTTATAGGCCTATTTGTTTTATTTTCCACCTTTTAGTCATACGTTCGAAATGAATTTGACACTTAGAGATCTACATATGACATAGGAGTAAGGCGAGAAACCAATATAAAAGTTGTACCACATAAGTATGCCGACCGAGCAGTTGCTAGGAATTAAATCTTGTTATCTCCCCTTAGTTTTTCATAATCGTTTAAAATTTTTTAATCAAATAATTAAATATCCAATTAGATTAAAAAAATATACATTTTCTGGCATTAATGTATTTTCAACGAAGAAGAAATCTGGAAAGTTTGAACTTACATAAGTTACAAGAATTGCCACAAACAGAGGTTACAAACTAAAGTAACTAAATAAAATTAATTAAAGCTTGCAAAAAACAATAGGCCTACCTGATTTTTCATTTATGGATTCACTAGTGTTACTAGACAACCGTGAAACAGCAGCTGACGCCGAAACAGGGCCCTAGACAATCATGAGTTAAGTTACCCTTTTGAACCAGTCAGTAAATAAAGTAGAATTCCGGTATTACTAATCAATCAAATATATAGAATCCACACATATGGGTCACACTTCAATGAGAAATAATCATATGACATATAAGTTATGATCAGTGGCGCAGCGAGGTCGGGTGTCACCCGGTGCGGCACTTAATGGTGTCACCCCCAGAGGTGTAGTGACCCTTCCCGGGGACAAACTTTCAAATTTTTTATTTGCACCCCCCCCCCCCTTTCAAGTTTTTCTCTATATATTTTGCTATTTTTTGCCTTGGTGTCACCCCCCTAAATGGTGTCACCCGATGTGGTCCGCACCCCCCCCCCCCTTGCTACACCTCTGGTTATGATAAATGACCAACCAGTTTTTCTTTACTTTCAGGGGACAAAAATTTTTAAAATATGTAATAAATGTAAATATATAGAAACTTTAACCAGTTAATGTCCTTCCCCCACAGAAAAATGTATGAAAGAAACCTTGAATACAACTCCTCTGTAACTGTCTAAGATATTCTAGCAGTCCATCAGGTTTTAATCACTGTTAAATTAATGGAATGGTGGATTAGCCTTGTCCTCTCACAGACATCTAATGTGTGCAGCCCAAGTTAAAAAGCATTAAACCTTGCATCATACAGGAAAGCGTAAATGTTGAACATGACTAATTTATAGTTATATTAAGTTACATAGGCTATATATTATATATAGTCTATAAATATTACTTGTTATCTATTTTTCAAATTTACTGCTCAATTTCCTTTGAGTATAATTAAATTAACACAGCCTCACTGGGGATGTTATATAATGGTCATCTACTGAGGTTGTTTCCCTGAGGGAAAACATAGTACAGACTTTGTTGAGTAATGTCAGTGAGGCAAATTTTACTGTGCAGCTAAGAATAGCCACTTGTCGCATGGGTACAATGAAATCACTACACCAATTCAATTGCCTGAGTGTCTTGTGGAAGTCAATCAACCCAATTAGAGGTCACGTAACATGAAACAATTACTGGTTCAAGAGCAAATTTATTCATAGGCATGGGAATTGCAAACCCACAGGGCCAACAATCAAATTAGATTATTTCCCTTAGCTGGTAAACTTATGATATATATTAAGTATAAAGCATAAAAAAAAAAAACTAGAAAAAATAATAGCCTTCTATGACAGGTATGCCTTTGTTTTACTTTTTTAGTCATTCACCTAAAATAAAGGTATTGAAAATTCCTGTAGTGGATGCAGAAGAAACATTCTGTTAGCAAACGTGAGTCACACATACAATATTCATATTTTTTCTTAATGAACCCTGAGTAGTGAGCCAGTATCTAAAAACAAATTCACAACCATGGGACAAAAGAAGTAAAGTTCATTTACTTCTGTCATCTAAGCATACAAGGGGATAATGTCAGCCTATGCCCAGCCATCTTCCTTTCCCAGCAGTGAGTCAGGTGCCCATCAGATCTGGGTGGAGTCAGTGATGTCCTACAGCCTTAAGTTTGGGATCTGAACTTGAGACTTTCAGGTTAACAGTTATGAACTCTATCATCTGATCACTGTCCCCATGTATGTGATCACGAAGACTTTTAAAAAAATTTCTCTAGATTTTTTTAAACATGTTGAAAATTTCAAAGGTATTTGTAATCTGAAGATTGAGTTGCCTTAGCCTGACTTTAACTACTATTGTAGAACTAATATTCTTTGATCCCTGACAGGTTGATAAAAAAACTGAAGTAATTAGCTTATAAATCATTCAGAATGCTTTTACTTGATTTATCATTGCCAGCAAGCTTAATATTCAGATCCAGTTACATCTGTGTTAAGCTAAGAAGTGTGATCTGGGTGTAATACTCAGGAAAAAAACAACAAAAGAACTCTACTTCATGTGCCTTAAGTGCCATTGGGTTTCAGAAAGATTTCTTAACCAAAATATAATAAAGAATCATGTAGGTTATTATCATTTATAATCCAGCATACATTATATTTGCATATACAAACAGTACAAAGAGAACAAGTCAATAATACTGCATCATCTGATTTTATTTTTAAAAACAAACATAACTTGTAAAAAAAAATCAGTTTGTAAATAAATACAAATATAAAGTTAAAATCAAATTTTAAACATGATGTTTATTTACTGTTATTTTCAGAATAAAATGTTGATGTTTTAAGTCATTAAAGATTCAATTAAAAACCCACCAGGACAATAATTTTTTTTAAAGTAAATACCCTAAATGCACAGCAAGAATAGCTGGCTGTAGGTTACTGTACTACTACTGTAATTATTACTAAACATTCAGACCCTTCTCTTAAAAAAAGTATTTTTAAAAAATGAAAAAAAAATCCATGACTAAGAATAGAATTATAATAGATATAGGTAAACTTAAATTAGAAATAAAAAAAGTATAACTAATTTTAAAAGATGTAAATTTTTATAGGTATGCCACTTGACAATGACATAAATTACTTGACCTCAAGGTAGACCTAATTGTTGACTTTTCTTTTGATGAACATTAAGATGAAGACAAGGAGTTTGAAGGAGCAAATTTAGGATCTGGTTTATTTTTTTTTGGCTTTTCTGAAAAAATAATTTTTTTTTAAAAGTGTAAGACAAAAAAAAACCCATTCATAATAGCTTCTACAAGCCTATCAGCCTGTAAATCATTCTTAAACTTTCATACCTACTTTTGTAAGAAAATTTACTTAATGTTTGTTCAATTTTTACCTTTGATGTAAATTTCAAGAGAGACTATTCATTCTTTAATTTTTTTTAGACATATGCTTTAAGTTTGAGGCATTTTACAATAAACTACCAATGTACCAAAAGTTTAGAAATGGCTGGTTGATTATCCTGTACTACTTAAAACAATTCACTTTCATAATTTGGATTACTTGTTCATTTTGCGCCATTATTGTTTTTTACTACTGATACTTTTGAATCATGTAAAAATTAACGTAACCTTCAAATATTTATTTAAAAACTTTAATTAAGTTTCAAATAAGTTTAGACTTAAAAACATCATAGAACTTAAATATACATATAGCACATAATATTTGAACCTTAATTCAAGCCTTAATGTACTGAGTGATATGTGTGTTATTGGGGATTAAATATTACTAAATAATTTTCTTAATATTTAGACAGAACCAAAATAGCAACACTTTCTGAATGTCAACTTTAAACATTTAAAACCACTCTAAATTTTGTGATTAGATTTTTTTTTAAAGATGTCCATACTTTTATTCTAGAGTTTCTAATCATAAAATTTATTTATTATATTATTTCCCTCTCTCATAGCTAAATGATAACCTCTGATATTTAATTCTTGACCTATGACATTAGCAAATTATACACTAGTCTCTTCAGATTCAAATGAATTCTTTTTTTTTACTGTTTCAACAGGTTGAATTCTGAAAGAAAATATTGAAATACTTTTAGAATTAAATAGATTAAAACATTTTTGTTATGTATATACTTTTACAAATTGTGTGTTTGTGTGTCTATATAGGCATACATATATATTTATACCTTGGCACAAATAATGCTTTCTGGAGTTTTTTCTTACAATTTGGCCTGAATAATCATAATAATCTGCCCCAATTGAGCAGAATAGACAGTATGTGTACAGTTATATTAAACTTTCAAAATTTAAAAGTGAATAGTTCTAGGGCTTATTGCTCATCAGCATCCCCATTTAATTGAGAAATATTTGGAGCTTTGACTGGCCCTTGATAAGAAACTTGCAAACTCTACTATCTGTCAGATACTGGATAATTCTTTTCTGTATATTTAATGACATCAGGCATTGGCAAATGAACAATGTATATTATTTTATTTAAATGATAAGGCAACATTACTTATATTACTAAAAGAAAAAAAGACAAGAAATCTGTATTTAACATTGAGTACTTTTGACAAAACTGTTAAAATGCTAATATAATTATAATTGTTTTTTTAGATAGCTATTATTAATCAATGATGCTTGTTGTTGAGTTAAGAAAACTCGTGATAAATATGTATTCTAATATACTACATAATTTGTAAACATTGACAGTTTGATGTTTTTATTTTTAAACCAGTTGTCAAAATCACAAGCTGCTGTTATATGAAAGGAGGTTTTCAAAATAACCAATTTCACGCAAAATACAAATTTCACAATATTTAAGTAATTATGGAAAAAAATTACTTACATCACTTTAGGTTCAAGCTTTCTAAAATGAATACAGTAAAAAAATTCAAAAGGACAGTTTTAACTTTGAAAGGTGCAACCATACAGCTTAATTTTATAACTAAGTAAAACCAGCATTGACAGTTTAAAGTATACAAAAATATAACTATGAAAATAATGTATCACAGGAGAAAAATCAAAAACTTAATTAAATTGTTAAATTGTTAATGTTTAATAAGGGGCTTTTAATTAAGCACTAAATTGTCTAAATAGAAAATAAAAGTGGTTTTCTTTAAATAAGCAAAAATGTCACAACTTCTTATTTAAATATAAAGAAAAGCATGGGTCACAATATTATTTAAATGAAAAACTGTACTAAAATGTAAGCGACCCACAATATTATGTAAAGGAAAAACTGTACTAAAATATTAAGCAACACACATTTGAAGAAAATGTTTAGGCCCATAATAAGTTTTAAAAAGAAATTCATCTTTCAAATACTGACATCTTTATTTGTTGCATTTACACTGAGAGAATGCTTTTTAGAAAGCAAGCTAATCACTCTAGTTTTGAAAAAGAATATAGCAGACCATTTCTTTCAAAGGAAGTTTAAGATGTATATCCATTAGCATTAAGCATACTAAACCATTGTGATGACTAATAACATATAACTTTTATTTTAAAAAATCCTTTGCTAATCCTGATTTTAAAAACAAATGTATTAGACTGAACAAAGCATTCTCTTAAGGGGTCATCCATTTATGACGTCCACAAAAATTTAGGATTTTAGACCCCCCCCCCCCCCCCCCCATGTAGACATCCACATAAATCACACTTTTTAAACCTTTGTACAACTTTACTATTTCAATAACACGGTTTTAATAGATTTGATGTTTATTATTAGGCTTAAATATTAAAAGTAGAATCTAGAGTAGATTAGTATGTTGTAAACGTTAAAATACATTATTTTTTTGCCAGGGATTTCCCACATTACCAACTAAAGCTCATGCAAGTTATTAAACAATGTGTGTGTATGGGGGTGGGGTGGGGGAAATAAATGTGTTATTCTCTGTTAAATGTAATATGTGGACATCCGCATGGACCCTTCCCCCTCCATGTGGCATCATAAATGGATGACCCCTAATTACACTTTTTATGCAATTACTGCTCAAATTGTTAATTGTGCTCTATTTGTTCCTAAATTAACAATATTATACCCGATTACTTCCAGGGTTTTTTTTTATACCACAGAATTAAAACAAAAGAGGTGATTACAATAAAATTAAAAAAGAGCTCTAATGTTTAAGGAGTTACCTATAAAGATCAATAAGCAACAATGATTCATTAAAAAAAAGAACCTAACTAGTTTTAAAAGCTTAAAAATTAACTACAAGGGTTTTTGCTCATGTAATACATACATAAAAATAAGACAATTTTTATACCTGTTGCTCTAACCCACTGGTACCCAAGCTGGGTTGCGAACCGTAAAGGGGGGGGGGTGTCATGAGGAGTTGCCAATTTAAACACAAAACTACAATAAAATCAGCTTTGCAAACTCAAATAGCAATGGAATAGAGAAGACTAGGCGCATATAGCTCAAAGTTCTTCTCATTCTCAGTCATGACTTAACGGACACTCAGAAACACAAACGCTTAGAGATGAATCATTAAGAATGCACTGAAAATTATTTTGACTTCATTCTTGGGAATGAAAATTTTGTAAACATCAGAGACTTGATCTAACAGGAAGTTTTCATCAAGAGGGCACAGAATTGGTTCTCATGGCTATTCATGTTGCAGATAAAAAAGAGCAGGATTTTCTTTGACAATGATAAATGAAGGAATAGTGTGGTCAACACTATGCCCAGCCGGTACTACTTTCCCTCAGAATAACGTGACCTCAGAATCATTCCATGGATTCAAGTCCAAGATTCAAACTCAAAAGAATTTTGTGTTACTAATACTATGTTTTGACATCCAACCATGCCATCCCATTCTGTTAACACTGCGCAAAAATAAAAAATGAATTCTAAAAAAGTTAGGAAAAATTGCCATGTTTTGGAATAATGCCCAACGTGGTAGATAATCAGCATGTGAAAAAAATTAATATCTAAAGGAAGAAAACAGACTCCATAAATACTTTCCGTAGCTGAGAGAAGAAATAACTATAATAGAAAGGGGTTGCAACCCAAAAAAGTTTGAGAACCTGTGCTCTAAGCCATTTATTAATTTTGAACTACAAGAACTGTGTAAGCCAATAGTGACAACTTATTTATCCCATTTCTCCAGAAAGTAATAAATAAATGATACGCTTCTTTGTACTATTTCTATGTGGACAATCCCTAAAGAGAACATGTTTCAAATCAAGAAACTGAAGCGGGGAAAAAAAAAATCAATGAATACAGGTCTTAATTGTGTGAAGGTATTTCTCATGCCATGAGATTTTCTATGGTATTTTGAACATCATTTCTTAATACAGTTAACTGTATGACATATATTAAATTTATAATTAGTATAGTTTAATAGTGGAGGATTAAGTATCTCTCTCTTTGCAGGTCATAATTACTCAAGAGCTTAAAATTGATTATTTTAGCATGAGTGTGGTAGTGATTTATAACATAGTAAGAGTATGTGTGAAGGATTCTAATTATGTTCTGATAGAGAAAAGAGGTTAGTAGGACTAGATTAAACATTTTGAAATGAAAATTATTTATAATGTTATGTTGCTTTTTAAAAATTATTGTTTAGTTTGGTTTTGAGATATCATTTATGGATTTAGAAACATATTTAATGGTAATAATCCCCTGCCATGGAAACTTACTTCTTAGGTGGAGCTTCCTGATATTTGTCATTCTTCAAGCAAACAATGACACTTATGCACAAAATTACTGCTTGAATGCAACAACCAATGAAGGGATAAAGCCATTCCATTGGATCTGAAATGAAATGTATGTATATATGTGTGTATGTTTATATTTGAGTGTAAATGTGTATATATATATATATATATATATACATATATATACATATATATACATATATATACATATATATACATATATATACATATATATACATATATATATTTATATATACATATACATATATATATATATTTATATATATATATATATATATACATATATATACATACAGAGCCCCCCCCCACTACCCAAAGAGATGCCTGAAAGAAACTTAACAAACAGACCACTTATAAGATTAGACAAATAAATGAGGCGGTATTAATAGTAACTGTATTACAAAGTATCAATGACATCATTATTGTTGTGTATTTTTTTCGCCATTGGCTTTTCAATTCTATGTTTACTCTAGAATCAATGAACTTGATAAAATATAACGGGTGCACATAGCTTTACATTTTGCTAACTGAGACTAGTTGGATCTACTTTCACATAACTCACACATAATATGATCAGTATTATAGACAACAAATAAAAAACAACAATAAAAAATTAGTTTACTTATGTCTCATCCCTTTGTGTAAAATCATTGGTCAAAACAATCAATTAAAAACCTTAATCTATTAAAGTTTCATTCATATTTTCATCTATCTTAAAAAACCTTTGAAAGCAGTCTTGGGGCAATTTATCCACTGTACTGCTGAGTCTCAGGCCTGTGCCATATTTCAACAATGTAAGCCATAGGGAGGTGTGCCAAGAAATAATGTTATAAACTCTGCCTAATAATTATATAAATGAATGTATTGAAATGTACAACTATTTTAACTAAATTCTATCATTTGGAAATAATGTTTATTTTACCAATTATTGAAATCTTTATGCTAACAAACAGTGGGAAGCATTTTTTATGGAAATGATATAAAATCTATAAAAGTGTTAAACATTTTAAGTAAAAATCATGATACAGAAACAAGATTGATTAACATGATAGATTAATAGGCCTATATTGTAATGTATATTCTTACATTTCTTTTCAACTCTACTGAACCCAGTTTTAAAAATTGATCCATTGGCTGGATAAACAATGATTGCCCAATCCCCAATTAAAAATAAAAGTTACCATAGTAACACAAAGGTCGGGAAAGGGGCAAGATATATGGTGATACCTTGAAACTGAGTGCCCAGACATACCTGATTTTTAAAAATAAAAGGTGTTGAATGAGCTAAAATTTGCTTTGACAAGCTTTGGACAAAACCACCCCAAAAATCTGCAACTAATTGTGCATTGGAGCTATTTATGTGCGCGGATGAATGATTTATTTTGGTATTTTAATTTGTGGTAATTTGTAATGAGGGAACCGCAGCATATCTTAATTAAGCTAAACTAATAAAACATTATACAGTAACATTTAAGTTTAATTGTTATGTTTCTTAATTAAGCTAAAGTAACAAAACAGTATACAGTAACATATAAGTTTAATTGTTATGTTTCAGTTCCAATAAATTTAGAGATCAAGTGTAACGAGTTAGTGAATTAAAACGAAAGTGACCAAAGGAGCTTAGCATTAACAGGAAGTAAGTGACAGAAGTGAAGCTCCTACACCTACATTGGGCCTAAACCTCCACAAGCATTTTTCGTAAGCTCAAGTTGGCTGATTTTTAAGGTAAATACACATTAAAAAACTAGTTTATTTCTTTGCATTATCCTTTATTATGTTATCAAACAATATTTGCCATGTATAAATACACTTTCCTTATTAAAAAACAAACTCAAAAGAAAAACAGGGTGGCAATTTTGGGTTTGGAAATGGAATGGATTGATGACATTTGAATTAAATTTCAATGGAAAATATTGCTGTGAGATAACAGCTATTTGACATATGTAACAATGTTACTGAATGAATTAAACTCAAATCTTGAGGTACCACTGTATATCAGTTGGGTGGGGTATGGGCCTCTATGCCCTTCCTAAGATCTGCCTGTAGCTTTTTAAAAATATACAATAAGAAACATTAAGTAGAATTAATCTGTTTTTCTTTTACTTTATCTTTGAAAGATTTAATTTTGTAGCAACACTAATTAAGTAAGAAACTGATTAAAATGAACAGCTTTACATATTTTGTACTTACTTTTTACACGAAGAATAAATTCCTTTGTGGAGTTGGCATTAAGTTCTTTAGTGTAAGCAATACAGGTATAGACTGCAGCATCTGTTGCAAAGAATAGATCTATAATTGCGATTATTATATAATTATGATCACAACAAACCTAAGAGATATGTAAAGTCCCCCTTGCAGATGTTACATCTGAAAGGGGGACTTTACATAATCTATAGGACAGTTGAAGTAGAGTTTACCTATTTATTGACCTCAGCATATGAAGGGATCAACCTTTAATTTCCATAACATAAGTATCATTTATTATTTGCTAATAAGACAATTAAAAACTGCATTAAAGTTTTGTAATAGCTCTGATGGTTTAAATGTCCAATTTTTTTTTAACAAATAAGAAGATAAGCAGCAATTGTGGTAACAATCCAAACTACTAAGAATCTTTTTTAAAAATTACTGAATAATAGCATACATATATTACACATATGCTATATTAATGATTCATGTTTTTTTTTTTAAATATATGAAATAATTCAAACTTTAAGATATTATTAGAAACTTAAAGAATTTTGTTTAATTTAATTTTTTTTATTTTTGTTCCCCAACTTATTTTTTTATTTTCTAAAAATGATAAAATATACAGAGAATATATTTTAAAATGTACAAACTGTTTACCTGCAGGGCCTAGCTTAGTGATAATCAAAAACTCATCTTGAGCGTATATATGGCGACTGTTATTTGGAATCCTAGCACCATTTTTCAGCCATTTAAGAGAGGGCCTAGGATATCCTAATATCCCATGAGGGGTCATAGAAAAATTTTGTCCAAGAAAATAATCATAGGATTTCTTAAAATCCAATAGAAGTGGTGTAGCTAAAAATAGAAGGAAATTGTTTTAATTAATGTTTTTAAATCTTAAATATATGAAAAGCTAACATTTTTAAAGCTATTTTAATTTATTCTTACAAAACACTAGTCTAATGTTGTTTAGTGGTAGTGTTTTTTTTAAGAAATAGAAAAAGTATTATGAAAATTACCAATATAGTTAACAACACAGTTAAAATCATGGACTACATCACCCTTCAAGGTAGCAGAGTACTTGGCAATGTAGCGATTAGCATCTTCACGTCCTATTTTTCAGTATAAAACTTTTAGTTAGCAACTCAACTGTTTGATATCGGCATATAAATATAGGGCTATATATGTATATATACATAAAGGCCTATATATATATATATATATATTGCTAGATATATATCTAGAAACGTATAGAAACATCCATGCAAGGTGAGTAAAATTGTTAAACAAAAAATGGGTTGTTTATTTGTGTAAAAGTAAGAAAGACTGAAAATGTATCTGAACTATGATTTTCATAAATGAGAATATTTGTATTAACAAATTATTTCAATACAACTATAATACTATAATGCAATCTCAGTTGTCTATATGAGCAAACATATATATAGTGCTGGAATTTAGATAAAAATAGCTTTCTTACTTGGTCCATTAATCACAAGAGAGCCATTTTTTTCTTCTACAAATTTTGGATTTTTCAGGTCCTTAATAGGCTTGTCATTTTGATACCAGCCTTGAAATTTTACTTGTAGTATTGGTGACTGTACTTGAACAGTGCATTCCAAAAGTTGAGTTTTGTCTCGATACTGATATACAGCTTTTGCTGTATTAACTGAAAAATTTATAGTAATAAAATAAATTTGCAAAGTGCTTTTAAAAAAGGCTGCTTGGCGACAACATTGTCAGGCTGGACAGCGTGTGAGTTCAGGCTTCTGGCAAGATGAGGCTTATTTGCTGTGGACATCAACCCATCTAAGAGAAAAAAAAATCAAAATCAAACTGCAACCTTGTAGATTGTTCTTGGGTGGACAAAGGCTATGGAAACGTCATCTGAAGTCAGAATCAGGGGGTCGTCAGAATACATAATAGGCCTACTTAATTGGAGAAAATCCCCTTCATAATTACAATTTATAACCAAAAAAAGGTTGTCAAAAAATCCATAGGCTTAGGTAAATACATGCTTGTGGGGTGCGGCTGTTTTTAGCCTACCTTAATTTAATCAACTTTACATCTAAATGCAAACTAAATGTATTTTTGGTAGCAGTACAACAAGTAAATATATTGTTGGCCATAAAACTCAGGAACAGGATTCTCAACTTTACAAAAATAATTATTTTAAAAGAGGAAGTTCAATTGTACCATTTATCTTTGTTGAGTTGGAGAGAGGTGAGGGGAGATTTTAAATGATGTGCTAACTGCACCGGATTTTTTTTTAATTTCATAAATTCAGGATTTTAAAAAACTTTTTAAAAATTGTTGAACATTGTTATGATAACTGCTCTTTTAAACGGTTGGGAGTTTTGGTGAAAAAGGAAACAAGAATTGTTAACTTTAATATGTGAACTTATTACCTTCTACACAGTTAACTTCAATATCCCTTCTTACTGGCTGAGGCGTATTCACAGAGCAGGTGAATCTCCCATTAGATTCACGTTCGAATTTATCAATGATAAGCACTGCAGTTTGATTGACCTCATTTCCCATATCATGTCGTATCCTTTCACTTGTTATATGCAAAGTAACATTTTTATAAAAAAGGATTTAATAAAACATACATCATTAAAAAAAAGCGACAGACACATAGCTATCTTTTTTTATTGTTATTAAATGAAGAATTTAAATAGTAATTGTATGGAATGGCTTTCGAAATTGTATAAGAACACTGTTATAAAAAAAAAAGTTTGGGGAGGATATGCAATCAAATAAAACAAAAATTCACACTTTCTCAAACAATTTACGGTATTTTATTTTCAAGGTTTCTTTTAAACATAAGTTTCAAAACCATGATATCCAGGACCTGATAGATCATGTAACCAAATCATACAACGTCTGACTAGCTTTATGAAACAGAGGGTAAAATTGAGTGGTAGTGTCTGTGCGCAATTACTCATAATACACTCACACTGTCACAAAAAGTTTACATGTTATACACTAACAATTAACTTTTTAAAATGATACAATCTCATTTAATAAAATAGACCAAATAAATTTGCCTCTTTATTACTGACAAAATGGAAAAAAATTGATAGAAGGAGATTTCCAGTTTTTATTTTGAAAAGTGTCCTTCAACTGCAAAATATCCAATTTTGGGTGGTAACATTTTCTGACAATGAAAGAGCCGATATCCATAAAATAGCAGTAAAGTTACATTCTTGATAAGTAGTACCCTTATCCCCCAAGAGACAGGGAAAGAGAGAACAATACAACAAACAAAGATAAGTATGCAAAAATTTGCATGAGTTATAGAAGTTTTAGTATAAAAATATATTAATTATTTACTTACACTCTCATTCCAGCAGTTACAGGTTGCCATTGAGGTTCAAAGAGTACTTCACCTTGGATTGATACACAGCTAATTTGTATTTTTGAGTTGCATTGAAAAAGTAAATATTGTCCTTGGGCAATGTCCAATGAAACTGTTGCTTGTGAATCAACTGAATTGATTAATAAATGCTGATTAACAATAAACTTTAAAATCCTACATTAGCTTAGTGAATGAAGATAAATAACAAAACTTGATATTATTAATTATTTTGTAAACTGATTTGCAGTTCACAAACCTTAGCAATATCAATTGATATATGAACTACATTAAATCTTTCTCTACACAAATGGTCAAAATCTGTTAGTTTATTTTTTGACAGATATGAAAAATTATATTCATACTCAGTGGAGTCAGTTGGTGTCACCTGGTACTGGAACTTATGGAGCATCTCCACCAGCCCATAATGTGATGCTTCAAAATTTTTTAATTATGGATAAGACCAGTTATGACTTGAAAATCAAAAACATTTAGATCTTTATTAACCGTTTACCTAATGTAATGATTAAAATTGGATTTTTCAATTTGGTGTCGACCTGCACAGTCTGTGGCAATACTGTTCTTACCACTGCTACTGTTCCTACCCCAACCCAAATGAAGGGAATTCAGCAATGACATTAAATGATGTAGATCTATGACATGTTCATGTAGGCCTATGATGTTATTAAACGACTTCACCCCTTGATCAAAAGTCTACCCTAACCTAAAGGCAGTACGCTGGGCAGCTTCAAGCAAGGTGGTATTTCAACAACACATTTACACTTACGACATTAAATATTATAAAAGATCTACTAGTTCAAACATTAGGCTTAACTATATTCTGAGTACATTGTTTTATTTGTTCAGCCTGACAAATGGGTGATAGATAATAACAATATTGTTAATTAAATATAGAGCTAGTATTGGTAATAGTACAGAATAGCATAAATCTGGAATATAGTTCTAGGTTAAAAGATAGTACTCTTAAATCCATTTAAATTTAACTTTACAATAATATGATTTTAAGCATTTACAATTTTAATGTCAGAGTGTAGATAAAACAACATAATATCAGATTACTTAATATTTCTTTACAAAATCTACTTCCTATGAGAATGAATAAGTCTAGCCTAAATTACGTCAAGTAGCTCAGGAGCCATTGAAATTGTCCGTAGGCTTTCATGTAGTACAGTACCTTCACCCAAAATAACTACTCGCAATCAAGAGCTCAGTCTCAGAATGATATTTTTATTTGTTAAAATGGTTGCCTAGAAAATTCAATCAGTTTTCATCGGAATTTCAACCTTTATTATTGAAATTTAATTCTGATTTACATTGGACCAATCAAAGAATTCTAAGTTCTAGCAAATTCGATCTAGATCTAGATTTTAAAATATAAATCCTATGCCTAAGTATTGGTAAAACCTTAGTTTAGCATCGATTATTATTCCGGAATAAGCAGTAAAAAAAACCCCAGTAAAACAATGGCAAAGTATGTCACACAGTTCTGGAATCCATCTTTTATTGTTTTTTATTCGCAACGTTTAAAATTTGGATAGATTGATTTTAATTGCATGTTATATACAATACTGCTTCACTAATTATTTTGTATCGCTAATTATTCTTAAGTGTTGCTGTTAAATATTTCTGTTACTAAACATGATTGTTCTAGTGATATTTACTATTTTCATAGACTCATAGACATAATGATTTTTACTTGGCTTAGCGTAATTAATTGATTGTGGCAAATCATCTGCAACTTGCAAGTGAAAAACATTAAACAAATTGGTAAAACTCCATTTTAGGGTATTTTATTCCCCGCTTCACGTTCACCTCCAGTTGAGCGTATTTTATTATCAATACAACCAAAACACACGAAAACGTGAGGAAAACACTAGGCCTATTTCTTTATGAACTTTTGTTAATATTTTTTGTCAAAACTTGAGAATAATCCAAATTTGGAATATTGAATGTGCACTCAATTTAGCTTTTTTTTCTCTCTTGAAAATAGGTTCATGTCATTTAAGGAGAAACTCATAAATGCAAGAGGGTTAAGTTTGTATTGTTAAAAATATCTCGCAATCATGATACTATAAATAAACATATATGAACTCACAATGACCCTAAGCTATGACGTATGCTGATAATTAAAGTCAATGTGAACTCAGGCAGAACCCTTGACCATGTAGGGATTTTCTCCCACCAACGACCACACGCTATTTAACTGGACCTGTAATGCTTAATTATGTCTTTTTACCTTTTCTAATTAAAACACACATTTATTATTTAGTTTAACATTTTTTATATACTATAATATTTATTCTTGTTTCCTTTAAACTTTAAAAATTTAAACATTAATTTAAAATTTACTTAGTTTACTACAATCGACTTGAATTTATTAATTATCTTTCAATGGTCAATCAATAATTAATTGTCAATAAACTATTAACCATGGTTTATTGTTTATGAAACTCAACAAACAATAACGGATAATTTCCAACGCTAAACCAAGGTTTTACCTGCTAAACCAAGGTTTTACCTAGATCTAGATCCTAAGTCAGTAAGTAGATCTATCTACTATCTATATCTAAGTAAAATCAAATTACTAGAAAATAAAATTCTCCATTTTTGTAATTTTGTGTAGTGTAGATCTATTCTAGATCTAGATCAGATCAACATCAATCAAACCTAATTCAAATTATTAATTAAAATTACAGGTAATCTATCATTTTAGGTATGTAAAATCGCCTGTGGCTAGTAATGTACGAAAAAGTTATTTAATTGTCAAGGCTTTAATAGAAGTATATTGTGATATATTTGTATCAAATATTACAGATAAATGAATAATAAACGTCCTAAATCAATGGCTAAATATATCTATATTGTTGCAGGCAAGAAATTAACTTTAAACAGCAGTGTTTGTGAGCAAGATTTGCTATATAAACAGCAGGCATTTGTAAAATAGAGTGCCTTCCCCCTGATTCTCGCGCTATAAGTTTGCAAAGAAAAACTTAAACAAAATCGCTGCTTAGTAAATGAACATGGTTGCATCTGTTGGAAACATCGCTAGTCTTCATTTATTACTGAAAAGTTTTAATTCAATCGTCTAAAAACAGGTACATAAATGAAACAAGGAAACATTTTTGTATTTTTCAAAACATAAATTCTCATCAAATTGTGAAATTATTAAAATTTAAGGAGTCGCCTGTTTTTCACATTACTAGTCGCGGGTGATTTTACGTACCCAAAACGATAGATTACCTCATTTATTACTAGATCTAAGTTAACTAAGTATTACTGAAAAGTTTTAATTCAATTGTTTAAAATACAGGTACATAGGCATAAATGAAACAAGGAAACATTTTTGTATTTTTCAAAACATAAATCCTCCTCAAAATGTGAAATAATTATTACAATTTAAGGAGTCACCTGTTTTTCACATATTTTGTAACAGCCGTTCGGTTTTGCCACAATTTTAAAAATCGCCTTAGCACTGAAACGCGACTAATACTTAAATTTGGTACACGAGCACCCGATGGTTTGAATCGACAGATATCTTTCACCTAACCAACCCCCCTCCCGCATACACCAAGCCCCCAACCCCACCCAAGCGTCCTTCTCATGCGTCTTTTCTTTTGGATATCTTAGCTAGCAGACAAGACATGTTTTCACTGTCAAGCTAAGTCAAAAAATGTGTTACTGTTTGTCTTTATTTTCAAGTCTAATCTGTAACCACACGTGACACTGTTGTGTGCTGATGAAGACCTTGGGTCGAAAACGTCCGTAGTACTTGTTGTAACTGTCTTTAACTTTCTGTTTTATTACTAGACAATACTATCTAGATCTAACTGTTTTTCACATTACTAGATCTAGTCGCGTGTGATTTTACGTACCTAGATCTAACTGTAACTATTAATTATTATTTTAATTAACTAAACTAAAACGATAAAGAATTATTAAAGACTAAAGATTACAAAATTTTGAAATAGGCAAATGACCAAACAAATGACATTACCTTCCATGAACATTAATAAAACGCACAGACATAGGTATAGGGTGTAATCAAACAATGGCCACATGATTTTTTAAAATATCATTAGCCTTACTAGACGTCTAGGTCTAGAAATACTAAAATCTAGATCTAGTCTAGATCTACATCTAGAAAAAATCTACGTTAGACTACTTGGTTACACTTTGTTTTCAACAAAGTAACCGCCAGCATACTTATTGTACATTGCCAGATATGCGTAATGTGCAGTTTTCAAATATTTTGTTTACATTCTCTTTTTTGAACACAACATTTAAGTAAAAAAAACAATTAAAAAAAACTACAAAAAACAACAAATAAATGTTGTATATTAAAGAATCTTTAATTGGTTTCAGTTTCCACTCAACAAACAACAATATATCTAAATAAAGTATTACGTTCAATAAAAATCAACAGAACGTTGTTCTAAAAGCATTCACTGTTAATAAGTTGTTTATTTTTGTATGTTATATTTAAAATGAGTCTACCTCTCTAGTACATACCAAAAAAAAAACATTAGCTTATTGTTTTTGACTATGCACTGACCGAAAATATTAACATATGCAAATAGTTTGTGTTGCTGAAGTGATATTAAAACTAAAACTCCTGAAAGATGGCATGTAAAAAAAAAGGATTTTCCTAAAAAATATTTTATCTGGCAAGAAAACGATTATTTTGTAGACCTAGTTACGAGTCTTCGTAAATTGCGAGACGCGAAACGACGATACGATAACCGGATAACCCATGGCCACTTGACATTTGAAGAGCCTAGTGCTTAAAGTCTTAAAATACTCGTCACATTTTTGTGATAATCAAATCAAGCAATGATCATTATTCCTCTAGTTTAACTTTATTTTGTAAATAGTATTTACTGAAGAATCTGTTTAAAAGGCTCTTCCAAACAAATAACATAAAAACGCAATGTTTTATAGTTAATCTAATACTATAATGGGCCAAGTTCGCACATCTCTCTCTCTCTCTCTCTCTCTGTCCGCAAAAAATTTTCGCCGGACATCACGTCAGAAACGGCAGCAATATATGGAGAACTTTATACGGACTTTTGTTGAAAATAATATGTTAGATGTTTTAAATGTATAACCACAATTTTATTTAAAGAAGAAAAATATAAAATAAAGGCGTATTCGAATGTAGAGAAACAGTATTATTTATGCAACCAGAAAAGCATTAATAGATGTGTAAAAGAACGCATAAAACTGTGACGACACTATTGCTTACTAATGACGTCATCTGCCGTGTTTAGAATAAAAAAGAAATGAACTATTTCATTCAAATTTGATTTAGATCTACGTACACTATGAAATGTATACAATACAATTTTTCCGGCCTAAACTCATAACATTTATTAATACAAAATCTTTGTTTGGAACTGGCTAATTTGGGATAAAAAAATTAATTTGAAAGAATAGGCATATTCGCGTAACTTAAGATTTTAAAATACGTCTTTCATTCTCTGTATTTTATAAGGTTCCTAAATAGCGGAGATGTTAGTGTACTATAAACCACGCAGGTGGTGCGGGTTCGAGACCCACCAAGTCAACTTGGTTAATGTATTTTTTTTTTATTTTGCTCGGACAAAACTTAAAAAAAAAAAAATTCAATTAGGATTCTAGATCTAGATCTAGATTGTCGGGTGTCCGATAAGGCACTTCCCGGCGCCGCAGGCGCTTCAAATTTGGCAGGATCTTGCCTTGGGGCGACAGAGCACGGGGGCCGGTTGGCCGAAAAGTCTACGATGAGGGGGTCAAAACTGACCTCGACTGACCGGTACCTTATATGAGCTATAAATCGAAAAAAAATGTCCACGGAGGAACCTCTTCATAACTCTTGAGGTCGTAGACCGACCCTCGGGCGAATTAATTAAGCATTCAAATTCTCAATGTTTTCGAAAGCCTAAGCGAAGCTGGGCAGCATGCCTAGTTTTAATTTAATCTTTGAACTCATTTTTCTCAAAATGTTGTTTTTATGACGTAAGTAGGCCTACTTTTAGCAATAAGCTCTTCATTTTGTCTCGCATTTTACCCCCACCCGATTAAAAGTCATTTTAAAAACAATATTAATTATTTAAAGTAGGCCTATTGTTAAATGTTGCCGTTCTGTATATATATATATATATATATATATATATATATATATATATATATATATATATATATATATATATATATATAAAAGCTACATCTTAAGAGACCCGGCGTATACAGTATACGCTTCCCTACAGTTGCGCTGTCAGGGCTAATGCTTGTGCGAGCTCATAATGACCCCAAGTATAGGCCTGTTTTTTCTTCAGCTTGGTTATGGGCAAAAAATAGAAGTGTCGTTACCAACAATTGTATCAAGTATGCTGTAGTCTCTTTATGAACTCACACTGGCCTAACATACGTACGTTCAGTGGCGTAGCGAGGTCGGGTGTCACCCGGTGCGGCACTTAATGGTGTCACCCCTTAGAGGCGTAGCAACCCTTCCCGGGGACAATTTTTCAAGTTTCGATTTGCACCCCCCCCCCTCTCAAACTTTCGATTTGCACCTCTTAAAAGACTATTTAACACTCGGATTAATCACTTAATTAAGTGGAAATATCATTTTTCTCTGTATATTTTGCTTTTTTTTGCCTTGGTGTCAACCCCCTAAATGATGTCACCCGGTGCGGTCCGCCCTACCCGCCCCCCCCCCCCCACCTCGCTACGCCTCTGCGTACGTGATTCAAATTGCTTGGGGAAAAACAAAAGCGAAGTCATCGAAATCTCAAATAGAGATCTAGCAATGTTCTTGATATCAGATGCTTCTGATATCTAAAGGGGTCATCCATAAATGACGTCATGCTTTTTTTGACGATTTTTACCTTCCCTCTCCCTTCCGTCACATAGCCCCCCCCCCTAAAATGACGTCACACCTCAGCCTACAACCCCCCTCAAAATTGCAGTTGAATTTTTTTTTTAATCGATATTTTTCCAAAATCTTGTCAGAAATATGTCAAAATAGAGTATTTTAATCAATTCCTATTATAGTATATTATAACTGTTTTCTAAAACGCTAAATAACGTCTAAAATTCGTTTTCTAACATTTCGTTTCTATAAAGCAAAAGTGTGACGTCGCACCCTCTGAACCCCCCCCCCCCCTCCCCCTCATCACACATCGTCACAAAATAACTGACCCCCTCCCCCTACGAGTGTGACGTCATTTATGGACGACCTCTAAACCAAAGTGAACTCACAATGACCCCTCGACAGTGTCGTTATTTTTCTCCCGCTGAAAAGAAAACGTGAGCGGGCGATCATATGAGAAAATGAGAAACCAAGTTATAGACTTTGGATTCGGCATATTCGGACTATGAGATCTAGTAGTTCGTGAACAGTTTAAAAAGCTAGATCCTGGTCAAGAAAATAAAAATAGGCTTACAACACTCATAATAGATACATTATTTAGCCTTGTTAAAAAAATTCTCGCACATCTCGAGAAAATATAGATAAAAAAAACAAGTAATTAAAAAAAGTCTAGTGACAATTTTAGCGCAATTTCCTTGTGTTATCTAAAAATAGCTCTGTCGTAGCGTAAATCAAGAGCAGGGTTAGTAAAACCATTGGTTAGTTATTTAAACGTTTTTTATTAAATTCGGTCCAAATTTTAATTAATTCAAAAAAATTTTTGTGACCGAACGAAAGGATATTTTTGAAACATTTGTTCTAAATTATGGCAGGAATTGATTGGTACATGTTTCAAGTCGCTAAGTGGTCTGGTTGCCGAGATATGGGCCAAAAACTGCATTTTTTTCCGAGGTTTTTTGGCTTTTCCGGGAAATCCATGAAAGAAACCCGGATTTTTTTTTATCTATGTTCATCCTCGTAACTTGCTTAACATAATTGCTTTTGAAACTAGTCATCGATATTGCTTCGTTGAGGAGGAGATACGACTTAAAGCTGCGAACACACATCCATCCATCCATCCATCCATCCATCCATTCATTCATACATTCATACATCCAGAAATGACGGGTTAATAAACGCAATTCTCCAGAATGGAAATTGCGCTAAACAGTGGGAAAAATATGTCAAAAACAAATGGTATGTCTCACATTTCCTCTTTGCATTTTACCGCCTTGCCATTTCGCGTTTTGCATATTCCCATGTCCCCTTAGTTACATATTTTTAAAAAGATGGAGCATTCTTTGGCAGTTCTACGAAAAATTTGGTTTCGGTTTCAGTTCCAGCTTAGCTTAGAAATTAGATCTACGTTTGTGAAAGTGAAAAACGTAAAAGCTTATAATAAATTATGATTATAAATCTAAAAATAGGTCTAGAATATAGATCTAGATAGACTTAGACGTGTGGTCTAGATTCTAGATCTAGATCTATATTTAATTTTCACCAAGACTCAAGAGACTAAGACGTAACAGTGCAAACTGAGTCTCAGTACTGAGTAGTACAGTAAACAAACGGTAAACTACTCGGGTAAACTAGATCTAGTACTAGAGTCTAGATCTAGATCTAGCTACTGTAGCTAGTGTAGTAGGTACTATTTTTTAGTATATTTATTACAGTTATTACACTATTTAGTATTTAGGCCTAACTATAATAATTATTATAATGATGATACTAGATCTAGATCTTTAAAAAATTAATTATAGATTCAAATTAGGCCTATAAAATATAAAAAGACAAAGAAAGATAAAGCAGAGTAGTAATATTAATAATTTAGTAATAATAGTATTTAGTTTAGTATTTTTAGTATATCCAGATCTAGATCTAGTATTAGATTTTAGACTCATTCATTAGAGTAGAGACTATTTGATTTAGACTTAGTTATTTAGTAGTCTATATTAAACTATTTTTAAAATTATTTAGGCCTAGGCCTATTTTAGTGATTTAATTTTAAATTTAGCCTCTATTAAAAATTAAAACTAATACTTGAACTATGATAACTTGATCTAATGATAAATTAAGACTTTGCTGAAATTTAAAACTCTCCTATGCCTCTATCACTATCTATGGCGGATGCTGCGAGACGCAAAAGCAAAATAGCGAGGCGGTAAACTGCAAGAAGAAAATGCGAGTCATACCTGCGGAATCACGGGTAAACAGCAAGACACAGTTTGCGAAAAGAAAATGTGTTTCATGTTTCTTTGTTTTGTAGTTATAAACTAAAGAAGCTGATGTATCACGCACGTTGTGTGTTGTTCTTTTTTTTTTAAAATCTAGTTAGGATTTTTTATATATTTATTATAGGCCCTATGTAGATCTCTATATTAAAAAATCTTAACATCCTATGACCGCCCACTCTCGCTTTCTTGTCAGCTAATGTGAGTTCATTAAGAGAATATAATTTTAGAATATATTTTAAAAATCTATTGATATTCAAAATTCTGAACAATACCGCCCGCTTCTCGCCCGCTCACATTTTCTAGGCCTAATCTACGCGAGAAAATAAAAAAATAAACTGCCTTTTTAGGGGTTTGAGCGGTCACAGTCATTGCATATAAAAACTTTAACATACGTCGGTATACATTTCGAGCCGTCCCATTTTTACTCATTAAGTCTACATTGTGATAAGACAATGCGCGACCTTAATATCATACTACCTTGATTTTTCGAGGGAAAATAGTATACCGCATGCTGCAACGTCATTTAAGGTCAATACCTTGGTGAACTATTTTTCGGTCAGCTTCAATGAGTATACATACCTCCTCCTCTTCTCCACCGCATTAAAAAAAAAAAAAATTTACTAACGTGGTTGGGGTCAAAAGTGTAACGTTTAATTCCAGAAAAGGAGAGGGTGGTATTAAAATATAGCAGTTGTTTAAATAAATAGTAAAAATAAATTATACAGGGAATGTGTAATCTCATTACTTAATTAATTAGTTAATTTAATTATCGCTAATAAATATAAAGGGAGATAGTTTATTTATTTAGTTTATTAGTTTAAATGTATTACTGTGCAACACACAACACTATACGTGTATATATATTATTATTGGTTTGAGTTTATATTTAACTCAATGCAACAAACCCACCTGTAGGTTGAGGCCACACCAGGGGTTCATTCTGCTACGTATTAAAGCTAAATTACTTTACACCAAAAAAATATATGTTTGTGGCAGCTGGCGGCCACGGTGGTGGCAGCTGGCGGCCACGGTGTTGGACACAAAAGAACTAAGTTCTATCATCAGTGGTATTTCGGGCGGTTTCGAATAAGGTGGTATTTCTAGTCAACACAAAAGATGGTGAAGTTGACAAATCATCATCAGAATGTCTAGCGACAGTGTAAACAAAACGTCTTTGATGAAGTCTGCATCAAATTTCACTGTAAATCGGTCGCGGTAAAATTTTTGCAGATATCTTCCCATCCTACCACCACCCTGCCTAAGTATCGGGTGGTGGTAAAATGCGAGCCAAAAATGTCACATAACCGACGGTTTTGCACCCTTCTCGCAGTTTACCCGCCTCGCCATTTCGCTTTTCGCGCCTCGCAATTTCCCAACACCCATCTATAGCATTGGATGACTCATTGAGTGTTGAAAACGGCATTGTGTAGTGTTAGTTAAGCCTTGCTATATATAGTATATAACCAGTGTTTCTTTCAGACTATTTTCTCCAGGGGGTCTGTGCACTTGATACTTTAGGGCCGAAAGAACTAAGTTTTCTGCTGGACTGTGGCGTATGCAGGGGTGGGTTAGGGGGGGGGGGTCATTACCCCCCCCCCCCCCCCCCCCCCATAGACCCCTCGGTATATGTATAAAAAGTATGAGGTGGGGGTGCAAATCAAAAGTTTGAGGGGGGGGGGTGCAAATCAAAAGTTTGAGGGGGGGTGCAAATCGAAAGTTTCAGTGGGGGGATGCAAATTGAAAGTTTGTCCCCGGGTAAAAATTGGAACCCCCTTCCCCCCCCCCCCCCCCCTTAAGCTACACCACTGCTGCTGGAGGACAGTGACACTTTAAAAGTATATATTTTCTCTACAAATTCTTCTCTGGGGGATATATCCCCCTCCCCCCTGAAGTGATGCCTGAAAGAAACACTGCAAATAACAAATTATATTGCGGAATTAAAGTTTCTCCTGTTTTTGTGTTTTTTTTTCTTAACATTTAATTTATTTTGAATATTTTATTTTCACTCTTTCAGCAGATCCTGATTAAAATAAGTAATTTTCTTGTAGTTTAAGAATGAATCCCAGAATAGAACTGTGTCCTACAAATATCTTCACTATAAAAGTATGTATTTTTTCTATCTTAGGCTTTTATGCCAACTTTGTTTACTAACAAAAAGTGGCCTTTCAAAATCATTCAATTTTTAAAAAATTGTAAATAAATTTAGCGATTTCAAGTAGGTTAACCTTGCCCTCCTGCTTGAGTTACACTGTATTGAGTTTTCTAATTAATACAATTACACATCATTGTGAAAAAAAAATTGCACAAAGTAAAGTTGGATGTTTAGGTGGGCACAATAATTTTCTAAACCTTGAATGGTACTTATCCCTAGCTGTGAGAGCATAATTAAATAGCTAGCCTTATCTGAATGATCATAACAATACTAACTTTAAAATTAATACTTTGGGTTCTTGAAGGATGATCAAGTTATTTGAACTATTTTTACTAAACTATTTAAATCTCAAGCCTAGAATGGATAATTAACCTTTCATTCCTGTACTTTGGGTGTATAATATTTGGAGTGAACTTTGTGTGAAAGGAGAGTAACTGGCCAACATAGCCACTGAGTAGGCAATCAATCATGTTTTTCCATGCTTTAATTGATCTTGCTCACTGACTGAATGTGACAAAATATAAGGTAGGAGCCGACAAGCGGCGAATCATATGCAGTACCAATGCTGCCACTGAAAATATTTGCTTTAAAACTCTATCAGTAGGTCGTTAAGGATGATAGCCCCCCCCCCACCCTCCTTTCCCCTAACCTCCCCCCCCCCATTAAAGCAGCCTTCTCTTAGTTACCTCCCCTAAGTTTAAAATCGTTTCAAAATAAATTATCTGCCCCTAATAGCTGTCACTTAACCTGGCTCTACGATTGTAAACATTTAGCATGAACCACAGCTCACCAGACCATGTGGGGGTGGGGGTGTTAGGGATATGCTTAGAGAGGAAGAGAGGGGGCTGCTAGGCGCGCTTACAGTTTGGTTTTCTAGGGTATCCAAGAAGAGAATTATATATATAGATATATAATTAAGGTGTGGAAGTGTGCCGGCTGCTTGATTGTAAGGGGATCTATAACCTACTCATCTACTGCTAGAATAAATGAAGATGTGGGTTTCAATGTCAATAAACATACACATTGTGACACTAAGTAGCTTTGTGGCAGTAATGTACTGTAGTAAAATGTAAATTGCAACAAGATGTGATGGCTGAATTTAATATATCTTTTTAATGTGCAATTGTTAAAGGTTAAGCTTTCTTATGTAATATTTTATCTGCGCCAGCAATATTATCATCAAGCTTATGTCTTTTTTATTTTAAGGCTGATGTGATGGTTAGTTCCATTCATAAATCCAAGAATTTAAAAAGAGGCAAGGTAACTAGTACTATAGACGAAAAAGCAGGACCATCTGTTCAGGATTTCCTAAGGACGGTTAAGTGCTTTATTTCAGATAAATCTATCCTCATAGAGAACTAGTTGTGCAGGAGTATCATATATATTTTGAAAATAATTGTATTAAAAAGATCTTTTTTTTTTCTAACAATCAATAAATGAAATCTTTTTGTTAAGTGTTTTTAATGTTATAGAAATCACTACGTCCTGTGAATGCTGTGAAAAAAAAAAGTTCAATTGTTTGATCATGTAGTGTCAGAGTTTTATTTTTAAGCATTAAACAGTTTTTGTAATTTATAAAATTGTTGATACGAATATGTTTAACAAATATTTTTTTTAGTTTTGGTTTTGAATGTATGAAACTAATATTGCACAACTAATATTAACAGAATGGAGAAGAGCTGGGCTTTGGAGAAGAGCTGGGATTTGGAGAAGTTGTTATGACCCTTCCTGGCAACTTGTCAACAAATTTTCAACATCTCATGTTTATCTGTTTATTCATTTGGATGGAAGGCAATGATGTGGTTAGTAAATTGATGGATTATAAGTGAAAAATATTCCCATTTATTCGAATAGGATAGCCCAGTGAACTCTAGTCTTAGTGGGGGGGGAGGGGAAAAAAACTCAGAAAGGGACATAATTCTTTTGTATAGAAGATGGTTTAGCACAGTGGTTCCCAACCTTTTTCGAGTGGCGACCCCCTTTTATAAAAAGTAAGTGACCCGCGACCCCATAGAATTAAAAAAGCCGAAATTAGTATGGAAATTAATAAGCACTAAAATAAGATTTTCTAGTAGACTTTCAATATGAACTACTCTTGATAACTGTTTTAATAGCATGAGTAAAATTGCATACTATTCACTAAACCTTCGTGGTTAACTTTTTAATTAAATTTAATTTTTTTTAACGCCAACATTATAATTATCTTAATTTTGTTTTTAATCGAAGAATAGTGTTGAAAATATATTATCGAAAAGTCAATCAATTTTACGTTTGGCTATGAATGGTGAATACTACACCAAAATTGTGTCTGCAGTTTTTCATATTACTCGAAATCATTCTGCAAATCAAAGAATTCATTCATATAATTCATCGGGAATGCTGGCAACATCCAGAGTTTCTTCCAGGCATCTTTTCGGGGGGGGGGGGGGGGGCAAAGCCCCCCGAAATGTTTTTTACCGCCCCCCCCCCCCCCCCCCCCCCCGAAAGAAATAAAATCTATATAAATTATACAGAAAATATATACTTTTAACAGTGTCCGCCCCCCTCCCCCCGAAGAAAGTCTACCGCCCCCCCCCCCCCCCGAAAATTTCAAGTGCCCCCCCCCCCCCCCCGGAGAAAAAAGTCTGGAAGAAACACTGGCAACATCAAGGGAAGAAGAGAATGGGCAATGCGTAAATGCAGATTATTCTTTTTTTCAGCTCAGAGAAATAGCGATGCAGTTCGTTTTCAAGAGATTCAAGATGCCCAGAAATCGCTTCTTTCAAAATTTTAATTATCTCACAATCAGATTCATCTACCACACCGCAGAGTTTCTCAAATTTACAATATTTCCAAGATTTAATTTCTTTACCGATTTTGCAGTTTGGATAAAAATGCCCCGAGATTATCATGGAAAGTTATAATATTCGTTCATTTTTCCTGAAGCTTCAGGTTAAGCTTATCTTGATGTTCGAAAACATCTGCTAGGCATGATACTCTCTCCAACCACTCGTTGTCGTTTTAAGTATACCAAAAAGTCTTGTTTTCTTTGCACTTCCAAGAACAATTTGATTTCAGATTTCAATTCAAAAACACAATTAATAACATTTCGTTTGACAGCCAGCGTACTGTAGTGTAGAAGAGCAGAACCTCGTGATCTATATTAATGTTTTTGCTCAGTTATTTGAAGGCTCCAGGTTTTATATAATTTACGACTTATACTAGCAATGGACTCTTGATGTCGATTGGTTAGGGAGCTAAATCTTTTCTGTTTTCTGAAAGCCCGATTTTGAGCTAAACATAGATGGCGCGCCATCCGTACAAACCCCCACAGCCGTTCTAGCCCATCTTAATCATCCAGTTTCAAAAAAGATATTTATTTTCTCCATGCTATCTTCACAAAAGAGCAACTCTTCTTTGCTATCATCCGCATGAATATAGACACAGACCAGCAACTGCGAACACGAACTCACGTCTGTTGATTTATCAACTTGAAAAGCAAACAATGGTGAAAGCTTAATTTTAATAAAAATGTGTTATTTAACATTTACGTACATGCAGCGTTTGATGAGATTTTCTCCTACTGTGGTTTTTTTTTTTTTTGCTGGGCATTTTCTATCGCAAATTCATTTGATGCTTGCACTAATGCTGGTGAAAACTTCCCGTTCGATCAAGTCTCTGGCGTTTGCAACTAGCTTCTTACCGACGAAAGAACTCCATATATTTTTTGGTGTGTTCCGAATGACTCGTCTCAAATGACGTTTTAGTTTTGAAGATTTTATAGATTCGTGACTGAGAACAACTTTGTACAGTGAGCTTTGTTTCTTCTCTATTACATTTCCAGTGATGTTAATGAAGCCGAATTTTTAAAAATTCTTCTAAATATATATGTTTTGTTTCAAATTACTAAGGTTTAGTATACCAGTTGGCGACCCCCCAGAAAGACCTTCGCGACCCCCAGGGGGGTCGCGACCCCCAGGTTGGGAACCCGTGGTTTAGCAGATTACTTAGCTTTTTCCAATAAAAAAAAGGCAGATTATAGCCTAAAGAAGATGCATATGCATATTTTTACTTAACAGCGATACATTGACCTGGTTTTTGTCATCTAAATGTTTTAGATTTTTAGCCTTCGTAAGGTCATTGTGTTTTTGCATCATCTGCAGGCCAGCCTAGACTAGGGGGCAAAAGCTTCTTCTGACTCGTCACTTCTTAAAAAAATGCCCACCTTGCTTTCATCTTTAATTATATGTTCCATTAGAATTTCAAACAGGATTTAACTTAAGTATTATTTCCTCTAGTTACTGCAGGAAAGTGTGCATCGCTGTCTAGAAATGGCATCTGCTAAAGAGTGTACCAGCATAGCCTTTCCAACTCTAGGCATGGGGGGTCTTAAGTACCCCCCAGAGAGGGTTGCTGCTGCAATGTTGAAGGCTATATTGGATTATTTCAAAAACTGTAAGAAGACTTCCCTGGAGGTTGTTTATATTTGTGTACAAGGGGAAAGTGAGCAATCCGCCTTAGTAAGTGTGATATCATTTTTTTTTCACACTTTACAGTAAGTGTGATATCATTTTTTTTTTCACACTTTACAGTAAGTGTGATATCATTTTTGTTTGTTCAGAGAGGTATTTTTTAATGCTCTATGCATCATTGGTAATATTAAAAGTGGATTTCCCCAAACACTATAAAATATGTGTCAACTTGCTGTGCTGTCATATTGCCCTTTGGCTCTGATTTCAGTTTACATTTATTCAATTAAAATATTTCTTTACATGCCTTATCTGCTTTTTCTTTTATTTTTATTAGCTACGGCTCTTAGTTAGATTTTGATAAAAAAAATATAAAGGGCGTATTTTTTGTTTTTTTTTAGGCATTTTTGTGCACATGCTATGGTTTTTTCGCTTACATGACAAACAACAACAACCCAGAAGAAACGTGCCTTGAACATAGTTACGCAGGGGATAATTCTGCTTGTGGATTTGTGAATGTAAAAGAAGGTTTGAAAATGTCTTATACAACTTAAAAATTGTTACTTTATTTATTATAGGCCTACACATTTTGAGAATTCTGAAGTAAAAACAGAAATGAAAGTTATTCAGTTTATGTTTATTTTCTAGAATGAAGATAAAGAACTATTTTATTAAAAGATATAAATCAACTTTTTAAAAATTAAAAACCAAGCACAGCATTCATAATTAAGTTACCAATTCAAACTAATAATTGGTTCCTACAAACATTGTGTAGCTTTAGATTAAAAAAATGATCAAACTATGGTTATTTAAGATTGTCCTTGAATTGCTATTTAAACCTAGTATGATGTAAAAGTGATAAATCCTCTCAAAATAATTTTAATAAAGCTGAACAAGACATTTTTAGGACTATTTTGTTTCACTTACGTCTTTTTTCTTTTTACTTAATTTTAATTTCTTAATGGCCCTCAAATGTTATTTTTAATACTGTGTTGTTTAAGGAGCACTACAAGCAGCAAAGCAAGACCTTAAGACTACAGAGACAACAAAAACTGCAGATAACGCATCAAAATTGTCAAATTTTTTGAATTTATTAAAGCCAGGTATTTGATTTGCATTCCCATTATAAAGTCCAAAACATTAGCTTGTGTCTGTTGTTATAGTTGTAAGGGAGGCAATTTAGGAGATTAGTTAATAAACAGATGAGTAATTTTAAAATGTTTCCCTTGTTAGTAAAGCAACTTCTGTGGAATTAATGAGTCTTAGTCTTAGCTAAGAAACAGCAGATTGTTATAGCTACAAAGTGTTTTCAAATTTAAAGTTGTAAGTTGTAATTAGGGTCTTTACTCATCTTAAGAATAAGCTTGTTAAGCAAAATACACAGCTTTTTATAATGTTGTTAGTTTTCAATGGTACATACTTATCACCAAATCTTTTACAAAGTATCATTAGTATTATCTACAAGTGTTAACAAATGTGTATTGCTTTTGGGCAGATTAAAATTACAGCTCTAAACTGGGAATAAATACTGGTATTAAGTATGATAGAATGCTTCTGTCTCCAAATTAAAACTGATAGTGTTATGTAATTTAGCAGTTGATATTTACATTTTTAAAAAATTTAAATGATACTGACTTTCATTTTCCCTCCATTTCCCTTTATTGGACAGTGGAAAAAGTTAATACAGTTGTTATTTCATTGTATAAATATGTTGTCTAATCATCTATTGAGTTTGTTTATGTTTTGTTCCATTCAGGTAACAGTAGAAAAAAATTAATACCTTTGTTATTTCATTACATAAATAATGTTGTCTAATTATCTATTGAGTTTGTTTATGTTTTGTTCCATTCTGTGAACAGTATCTTCTATATATATATAATTCTCTTCTGGGAGCCGTTAGAAAACAAGCTGCAAGCGCCTCCTTGCAGTCCCCTCTCTTTCTCTCTATCACTATCACTACCACCCCCACCCCACCCCCACATTGTCTGGTGAGTTGTGGTCACGCTAAATGTTTACAAAGCTAAATGTTTACAAATCGTAGAGCCTTAGAGCCGGGTTTCTATTAGGGGCAGATAATTTAGTTCAATATTAAACTTACAGGAGGCAACTAAGAAATAACTAAGAGGAGGCTGCTTTCACGAGGGGGGGGGGGTGTAGGGTCGGGGTTAGGGGAAAGGGGGGGGGGGTTAGTGTTTTAAAGCAAATATTTTCAGTGGCAGCATTGGTACTGTCGAATTCACAAATTATGAATTACTGAAAAGTAGAAAATAAAACAACTAAATAGCGGCGTATGATACGCTGCGGGTCGGCTCGTAAATCATTAATACCTTTGTTATATCATTGTATAAATATGTTGTCTAAGCATGTATTGTGTTTTGTCTGTTTTCTTCCATTCAGGGAACAGTGGAAGGAACAGGGATACTACTGTTACCTTGTTTAACTATGCTATGGGAGGGAACTTTGGAACTATTCAATTTATGATCCAGCCTGGGTTCAATGTAGTCAGTGGATCTGTTTCTCTTAGTGCTACTGTGAAACTTGATACCCCTTTGTTAAAAAAAATCTTACCGTGGCTGAAAGGCTTATTCCCACGTTAGTGGTAAGAATAATCTAGCTTCACCCTAAGCATGCCTTTATGAAGTTTGTAGTGAAAGTTTTAATGAAGAAGCATGTGTATCTGAATATTAAAAAATTAAAGTATGTTTGTTTGTGGGTGTCTCTGTGACTACTTTAGTTTTAAAATATTGTATCAGCCTTGCTTTTGAGACTGCTGTGAAATGTGGACGGGTTCGCTAATATTTTAATCGACTTATTTTTTACAGGGCAACTACTGCTATTGTTTGATTATCTAAACCTAGTGAAACTGTTTTCTAAGTCTGATGATGTATCAAACCTATCTTTGAAATTTAATATCAATAGCTTTAAAAATATCTCCCTATATGAAATCCACGCCTCCACAATTTTGTTTTTGTTTTTATAGTTTTGTCCAATATGTACATATAATGTGATACTAATGATAATCTAAAGTTAAAAACAAATTATATATGCATGTGGGACCTAGTGTTAACCTGCTAAATGAATATTGAAATAGGAAATGAAAACCCTGTGTGTTGTCTCTAGTTTGTACAATTTGTCTGTGTAAATTTGCTGCCTGAACCTTTCACTTAAAAAGTAATTCACTTGGTCGATATCAAACTCATAAGCAATTTTGCTGGTAAAATATTGACTCCCATCGTGAAAGTGTTTGGAGACATATAAGTCAATTCTTTCTGAAAATGTAACAGTTAATTTTCTTTAGATATAACATTGAATTAAGTGTATTTTTTTGTTAGTATTCTCTTACAAACATGTTTTTATGCTTTAAAAAAAAAATACCCCAAACTGTTCTCCACATGCAGTTTTCAGACTGCTGACAAATCTTTTATTGAGTAGAACAAATGTGAGCTTTCTTTACAGCAATAATTGCCATAAAATATATTCAAGTATATTTTTGATGTAAAAAAAAAGTGTTATATTTTTTGAAACTTTAGTACTTTTTTCTGTTGCTACTATCCAATAATTGGGTTGCTGTTTAAATCATTAATTTATTTTGCATTAATTTCTTTACCATAAGACTGTTGAAATTTGCTTGATAAAAAAGTGAAATTATATTAGTTTGAGCACAATTGTAAAAATATTTTGGCTTGTTTTAGCTTTACAATTATGTAACATTTTAATCATAATGGTTTGTCAACAATGTAAGATTATTTTTCTTGTTTTTTGTTGAAAAGTTATATGTAACATTATTTTTGCTTGTTTAAATTTTAGAACTGCATACATTTTTGAGCAATGTAAAAAAATATTTTCATTTACTAAAATCGTCATTTGTCATCTACTAAAATAATACCCACCAGCTTGGTTTTGTGAAAAATTACAACTTTTGTCTCTCTCACAGCTTTTATTGACATGGCCAAAATCTTGTCTGTATCACAGCTTTCATCAAGATGGCCCAACTCTGACAACTTTTATCAAGATGGCCCAACTTTTGTCTGTCTCACAGCTTTTATCAAGATGGCCCAACTTTTGTCTGTCTCACAGCTTTTATCAAGATGGCCCAACTTTTGTCTGTCTCACAGCTTTTATCAAGATGGCCCAACTTTTGTCTGTCTCACAGCTTTTATCAAGATGGCCCAACTTTTGTCTGTCTCACAGTTTTTATCAAGATGGCCCAACTTTTGTCTGTCTCACAGCTTTTATCAAGATGGCCCAACTTTTGTCTGTCTCACAGCTTTTATCAAGATGGCCCAACTCATTCTCACAGCTTTTATCAAGATGGCCCAACTTTTGTCTGTTGACTTGTGTCTCACCTCTTTCAATATTTTTTTTTACATTACTACTTCGCGGAGAACTTCTCCCCTTTCACTGGTTTTATTGTTTAAACTTCCTGATTTTGTTTCTGTAGCATTTTGATTATTTGATGAAATTAGGTTGCTGGTCTTTTGCCCAACCTCCAACCCAAAGAACCAGGATGCTAGCTTTCATCCGACCCCACCTACTCAGATCTTTCCAACATGGTTGAACCTGCTGCATACACTTTTGCTGGTATAGCGCTAGGGGTTGACATGTTACACAAGCTAACAAGCCATCATGATTGGGTTAGGTACTTTATTTACATGTAGAAAGATACATTTTTTTATAAACCCACCAGTGATGTAAAATTTGGTGATTGATCACAGAAAGTTTCTTATAATTCATTTTCTTCTTTTAAAATGGTTCTTAAGCTCATGTACTTAATTTTATACTTGTAAAATGGTGTAATAATTCAAACAGTTGACATGCCTGGGTTTATTTTCTGTGATAAATAGTTATCTTGTAATTAAAATTGATTAGAGTACCTAATTTTGGCCCCGCAATTGCTAAACTCATAAATGATAATGTTTATGCAGGACATTGCAGGTAGCTCAGTTAATTAATGGGGGGGGGGGGGTGGGTGGGTGGGGGTTATGGTGGAAAGAGTAATGTCACTTAAATGTGTTTTGACTTTCTACAATGATGGGGTTCAAAATGTCTTGTTTTGTATTTTTTAAACCACAAGTTAAGCTACTAAATAGTGATAGAGGATGGTAAGGAAATATAAAACTATACCAGTTTTATTTTTTTGGTTGTGTTGTCACATAGCCCAGTCATCAAATATTTCTGCTTTAACATTGGTCTATATTAGATGCCATTATAAACTGCCCCATTTTCTGATTTTTGAAATAAAAAAGCCTTCAACTACACAAGAGACTACACAATCTTATTCTTTTGAATAGTAACATTAATTATTTAAAATAATTTTGTTTGATATGGTGTTTAAAAATAATTGGGTATCTTAGGTCAGATATTTAGAAAATTAAAAAAATTACAATATATATTTTTATATCTCTGCTTGTCTGGTGTAGAAGTATGGGTATTGGGAATCTCATTATGGCTTGTTGGAAACAGGTTATTTATTCAAAAGTTGTTTACATTTGTTTTAAATTTTGAAATGTGTAACATTGCTTTAAAAAAAAGAGGGCCTAGTCTTCCATGTGATAAAATCAAACTAATCAGGTATTTTTTTCTTTTTTGCTATTAAGTCTATATTTATACCACTTAACTTTAAACCATTTTTTTTTTACCAATGTTTCAAAGTCTATTTTTAAAAATCCCCTTGTTGTATTTTTTATCATATGTCTTTGTTAATACTAATGTATGGATGTACATATATGTTCAAATGAAAGTATATGTTAATACTTTATATTGGTTATTTGTATCAGATCTATAGGTATCAGTTTAAAACTGTTATCATAGTGAGTTTTATAATTGTACTTCAATTTTTGTTGTCTGTTAAATTATTTTAATCTTAATTATATAATTTTATTTCATCATCAACTTTTCCCGTTCTTGCCCAAGAAACATGAGGCAGATGAAGTAGAGTTAATCTATTTCAGGGACATCTGCATATAAAGCGATGGTGTGGTCAGCACTATGCCCTGTCGCCTTTGCTTTCCCTAATGTGAGTGAAGTACCCATCAGAGCAGGGTGGACTCAAGGGCATTCTACTCACTTAAATCCAGATTAAAACTCGAGTCTTACGGGTTAGCACCTCTAGGCCATGCCGTCCCCATAATTTTATTTAAGGTATTCCAATATTGCTAATCCAATTTGTACTTAATGTCTGTACATCTATTGTTTGAAGTCACACAGTAGGCTTCTAGTCATTAAGTTGAGTCGAAGGGTTATGTATTATGGTTTGCTATATGTTGTTTTACTGGATAAATTTTAAAAAAAAGAATATCATAAGTCTATGTTGGTGATCATTGTCCTACAATAAAAGCTACAAAATTCCTGTAATAAAAAAATATGATTTTTGTTCTTTCTTAAATGTACAAGACATTGTACGTTTTATTTATTAATTCATAATTAGCCTACTTATTTATTAAATGTTATTGATTTTTTTTTTTTTTTGCCTAGTTTGAGTCATGACTAAAAATTGTACTGTAATAGTTGTTAGTTATGATGTGTAGTAATTTTATTTCTAGCTCATCTTTTTAGAACTACATAGTTATAATTATTATTAATTAGGCCTATCTATTAGGCTACCTATATCTGTTGCTGATTTATATTTAGTAAATTTAATGATGAGCTAGATCTAGGTGGGGGGTGACACCAAGGCAAAAAATAGCAAAATATATAGAGAAAAACTTGAGGGGGGGATGCAAATCGAAAATTTGAAAGTTTGTCCCCGGGAAGGGTCGCTACGCCTCTGGGGGGGTGACACCATTAAGTGCCGCACCGGGTGACACCCGACCTCGCTACGCCACTGATACACAGTGCTAATGTTCATTTATACTTTGTACCCTTCAATAATATCATTTTAGCTTGTTCTGTTCCAACAAAATAATTTTTAAAATCCAACTTCGTACAACAGAGCAATTATCCCAATATATACAAAACTAACCTTTGTTCTCCAAAACAAAAATACTAAACCCAACTTTGTTATTCTAAACAAAATACAAAACCCAACTTTGATCTACAAAACAAAATACTAAACTTTAACTTAGGCCTAAAAAAACAAGGACTGTAAGAAAAAAAGTCAAGGGAAAAAAATCATGGGAAAAATATCACAAATGTGTATTTGCATGGAGTTTGTTAATACTCTTATGTATTAAATATTCAGAAAGTGAAAATCAACTTACTATTAATTAAATGTAATGTAAACATTTTAGATATATTTGCCGTAGGTTGTATACGTATAGTAATATTCATAATATTCGTAAAAATATTTAGTATGAAGTATGTAGGTTTTAATTCAACTATACATATAGGGGCTAATATTTAATAGAATGTTCCCAGCTTGGTTTTCATCAAGTTTTTAAATGGCGCCAGTCGTAGTTAATGTTACTTGCTGCCCTCAACTCATCACAACAATAGATCAACCACCTGTACTGCCCTCATGTATCACACTCACTACATAGCAAAGAGCAGCGTTAAACCAGAAAGCCAACACGGTACAAAGGCTGTCATTGACGCCGAATGCCAACAACAAACAATATGAAAGGACTGAGTAGAAGCCGACCAAGCTAAGGCCTACGGCAAAAAAAAAAACATGCAAAACACAATGATGTATCTAAATTTCTTTTAATTTTTCTACCGCATATTTAACTAAATACGTAGGTTGATGTTGCTGTGTAAATTATCTTACAGGAAAATCACCACCCACATTAATAAACACCTACAATTTTACAAGTCTCAACAATTAAATAAAATATTTCTTAGAATATTTTTGTGACTTTTCTGTGACTTTATTTCTGTGACTTTTTTCCTCACAAAAACTTTTTTTTCTGTTTTTTTCCCCTGTAACTTTTTCCTGCTGTTTTTGAGACTTAGAATACTTAGATACGAGAGGATGTATGAAATACTTTAATTTACATGCAAGAAAACGCGTTAATGGTCCACTTTTCGTTTTTTTTTTAATTAAACGTATTTAAAATTAATGTAAAGACAGTAACATAGGCCTCGGAACTATAAAGAGTGAGGATTGGTAAGATTTCACGTAAACGATTTTTCAAGACATTTTATGAAACTTGTTTGTGCATTAATATTCTTCCATTTGTTAGACAATGGTTTTTTTAATAGGCCTAATTAATGTAAATTATGTAAATAGTAGGTTTCTTTGATTACTTCCCTTATCAAAAACAAAAGACCATTCTGGGTTACCTCCTTCTTCAAATCGCAAAATTTCTCAAGAAAATGATAAATAAGTGTATCTTATCAAATATATTTCTAGTATTGTAGATACATTATTTATATTATGTACATTAAATTAAAAAAAAATGTTTGTAACCGACTTTCATTGATTTATCATAGAACTATTATAAACTTATATTTAAGTTTTAGTATATTCTAAAAGAGTCAACCATAAGAATTTAACAGCAGAAGATACATGGGGTGTAGATTGAGCGTAATCATCTTTGTCTTTGCGCAGTGGCGGTACCATAGCCAATGAGGTTTTACCGAGGCGTGGTTATTGCTAGTTGAAAACTATTCCCAATACCCCGCACAGACGACCTTCACTGGTCGGCTCGTGCAATTTTTAACGGCTTCCTCAGGAGGCTTATATTAATATAAATAGAGTGGACTTGCTTGAACAACTCAACTCCCATCGTCCCACCACCAAAGTAATTCGCAATTACCGATTTTATAAATGTAAATAGAGGACTGTAAAAAAAACAAAGTAATGTTAAAAAAATAACTTCAACAATTACAAGAGAAGCGGTCAATCGTTATTTTTTTTCCCCTCGCGTCAAAGTGAAAGTTGGTTGGTGCTCGACGAGTTATAAATAAACCCCTTTTTTGGGGTGACCGGAAAAGAGGTGCAAAACAGAGGCGTAGCGAGGGGGTGGGGGGTACATATGTCCCCGGGCGCCGACCTTAGGGGGCGCCAAAATGGGTTGTAAAAACAAATTAAAATATCATTTTAGCTGCAGTTTTGCACTATAAATATTTTAAAAAATATAGGGGGGGGGGGGGGAGTGCAAATTGAAAGTTTGAGGGGGGGGGGGTGCAAATTGAAAGGCTTTTGCCGAGGGGGGGGGGCGCCAAATTGAAAGTTTGTGCCCGGCTGCTGCGCCCCTGATGCAAAACTAAATAGGCATATCCCAAGACGAGAGGGGATTTTGTTTTGTTTATCAACAGACTTCGACCTACTTTTCAAACGAAATTCCCCGTATTTTAAAATCGGGAATTTCCATTTATCAGTAATAGCTAGCCACCAACAAAAGCATTTTAAAAATAAGCACGGAAGCCTTCACAACAAAGGCAATGAGTTGCTAGCTGACATCTTGCTACTGATGTAGACCTATACGGGATATCACAGCCAGTTTTAGGACTGTGGGGACATACATTGCTAGCCTGGATAGTACATCAAGTGATACGCACTTCACATAGAAGGTATTTGATCAAATAGCTTGTCATTCATTATTATTAAGCTTGGTAGTGTTGGTTTCAGGTAAGGCATTTGTGCTTCAAAATTTTTATTTTATTTTAATCCGTGTTTCTTCCAGGCATCTCTTCGGGGGTTAAGGGGGGGTGGGGGTGGGGGGGTGGGGGGGGGGGGGGCTGCCCTCCGAAGAAAGTCTACCGCCCCCCCCCCCCCCGAACGAAAAGGGAAATTTATATAGAAAATATATACTTTTTACCAGTGTCCGCCCTCCACCCCCCCCTTCCCCCCCCCCCCCCCCCCCCCCCCCCGAAAATATCAAGTTCCTCCCCGGAGAAAAAAGTCTGGAAGAAACACTGGGTTTAATACCAAGCAATCATCAAGTTAGAAAAACTAAAAATAATAAACTGTAAAAAAATCTATCGTAATATAATGGCTTACCAGTATATTTATTTTAAAGCGAACAATCATAAAATGTTCAATTTTAAAGTTAACAGAAATTTATTTAAAAAAACAACACAACATCTAATTCTTTATTACCATACACGAAGGGAGACCTGAAAGGAAGCTATTATAAAATTTACAAAGTATCACTCATCTTTAACAAATCACTATAGTAGGGCCCTATATCATATGGCACGGCCTCAACTCTCTTCAACCATGAGACCGTACACTGCCCACCCACCCTTCACCCCCACGCCGAACCTAGTATGAGAATTTTTTAAAACATAAAATATACAAGCCTACTTTAACCAGTCCCCCCCCCCCCCCCCACCCCACCACCACCGGGAAGAAAACATTAAAAAATTTGTAACTTAAATATAGATGACATGGATTTCGACAAGTATCCCCCCACCCCACACACTCACATATTCAAGGTTCTAGTTACCCCCTCCCCCATACTGAGAAAATAAATGTCTGAAAGAAACTCTGAATTTCAGATTGGACGTTGTGCCAGTCACCATGTCTGACTCAGCAGAAGCCGCCAACAGCTGCATACGTTTTGTCTTCGGCGACATCGCTAACCAGAAAGTTTGTATTGGTTTAGTGCTGAGGTTTTTTTTTTTTACTGTTTACATTGTGATAGTATTGGTCTAGTGCAGAGTTTTTTTTTTACTGTTTACATTGTGATAGTATTGGTTTAGTGCAGAGTTTTTGACTAGTTACATTGTTTAGGATAGTATTGGTCTATTACGGAGTTTTTAACTGCTGACATTGTTTAGGATAGTATTGGTTTAGTGCAGAGTTTTTTTTTTACAGTTTACATTGTGATAGTATTGGTTTAGTGCAGAGTTTTTAATTGCTGACATTGTTTAGGATAGTCTTGGTTTATTACGGAGTTTTATGACTGTTGACATTGTTTAGGATAGTATTGGTTTAGTGCAGAGTTTTTAACTGTTGACATTGTTTAGGGTAGTATTGGTCTATTACGGATTTTTCGATACCACAAGCCCAGCATTGAAGCGTCAGCAGAGGCGTAGCGACCCTTCCCGGCGCCCGGGGACAAACTTTAAATTTTCAATTTGCACCCCCTCCCCTTCTCAAACTTTAAAATTGCACCCCCTCAAACTTTCAATTTGCTACCCCCCCCCCTCAAACTTTCAATTAGTTTTTTAAACCTCTTTTAGCGCCCCGGGACATATGTACCCCCCCCCCCCCCCTCGCTACGCCTCTGAGCGTCACTGCCTTGTAGTGCTATGAGCTAAAGATCGTATCATCAAACGAAATGGGTTTGGGGAGAATAAAGACTACAATAAAGATTAGCTTTTTGTTTCCATTTTACTTGAAATAGTTTGGTCCAAATGTTTAACATATTTTTCAAGTGGTGGGAAAATTTTTGTTATTGTGTTTGGTCGGGCTTAGCCCCCCCCCCCCCCCCGAAATTTTTTTACCGCCCTTCCCCCCCCCCCCCCCCCCCGAACGAAATGAAATTTATATAATTTATATAGAAAATATATACTTTTAACAGTGTCCGCCACCCCGAAGAAGGTCTACCACCCCCCCCCCCGAAAATTTCAAGTGCCCCCCCCCCCCCCCCCGGAGAAAAAAAGTCTGGAAGAAACACTGGTCGGACCCATTCAATATTGAAGCGATTTCAGCTGATTTTTCTTAAAACCTTTACCCGAATATCGTCACATTGTCTTAAACAATCTACCACCCCACCACACCATTCCCGTGCCTATAGCAAACGTCTATCAAATGTCAATAATTGTATTCGTTAGACGATGACGTGTTGAGAGTTGGGTAGGGATCAAGGCTTTCAACCCGGAAGTATTAAGTCCAGGTCACGAATCAATTACCCCACCCAGCTCTGATCACTGCATGCCTCGCGTTAGGGAAAGTAAAGGCGGCTATGTATAGAACCTGACACTAGTTAAAGTCTATGTTTACTATATAAATTACATCTCGTTCGGGGGGGGGGGGGGGGGTGTAGACTTTCTTCGAGGGGGCGGACCCCCCCCCCCCCCCCCGAAGAGATGCCTGGAAGAAACTGCCCCCGAAGAAAGTTTACCGCCCCCCCCCCCCCCCCGAACGAAATGGAATTTATATAGAAAACATATACTTTTACCTGTGTCGTCGTCCCCCCCCCACCCCCCCACCCCGAGAAAAAAGTCTGGAAGAAATACTGATCCCTTTATAGGCCGAGGACACAGAAACATATTTGTTCTATTTACTTTACTTTTAAATTTTGTGAAAATTGTTTGGGAAAAGGTCCTCTCTTCATGTGTCTACAACGTTCTACTCATCTGTTTTTCCGAACTCATCTAAACACTTACGTCACTGTGTTCTTTATTGCGTTGATCGTATTTCTGCTACAAAAAAGGCGAACTCTACTTCAATGACTGTCAAATAGATTTTTTAAATTTTACATGAAACATCTTGTGGTCCATGACCAACTTTCCCCTCTAAGAGGAAAAAGCTGGAGTGCAATGTGTATTTTGTGTGCGCGGTGTTCTAAAAGTCTTTTACAAGAATTATGTATTGTCAGTGGCGTAGCTAGGTCGGGTGTCACCCGGTGCGGCACTTAATGGTGTCACCCCCCAGTGACCCTTCCCGGGGACAAACTTTCTTCAAGTTTTCGATTTGCACCCCCTCAAACTTTCGATTTGCACCCCCCTCACGTTTTTCTCTATATATTTTTGCTATCTTTTGCCTTGTTGTCACCCCCCTAAATGGTGTCACCCGGTGTGGTCCGCCCCCCCCCCCCTCGCTGCGCCTCTGTGTATTGTTACAAAATGACTGCACGGCAGGCTCAAAACTGATGCGCGGTCGCGCAACCGCGCAGATTAGCGGGAACATTGTCCATGACGTAGTTCATCTTTTCCGTTCATGGGGGACAGATGAAGTAGAGCTCACCTGTTTCGATAACCTCGTTATATGAAGGATATCGTGGTCACACCTATACCTAGCCGCCTTTGTTTCCATAAAGTGAGCCAGGTACTCATCAGAGCTGGTTGGACTCAGGGAAGTCCTACAGACCCATCTCGATATCCGATCTCGAGACTTTTGGGTAAACAGTTGTGGGATAGACTTAGATGTTGCAATTATATCCTTTCTCTGGAAGCAGTGTTTCTTTCAGTCTTTCTTTTTCGAGGTTGGGGTGGGGGGGGGGGGGGAGGCACTTAAAATTTCACGGGAGCGGGGGGTTGGATTAAATTTTCCTGGGAGGAGGGAGGCGGACACCAGAGGCGTAGCGACCCTTCCCGGCGCCCGGGGACAAACTTTCACCCCCCCTCAAGATTTCGATTTGCACCCCCTCCCCCTCAAACTTTCGATATGCACCCCCCTCAACCTTTCAATTTATTTTTCCGACCCCTTTTGGCGCCCCCTAAGATCGGCGCCCGGAAACATGTCCCCCCCCCCCGCCCCCCCCCTCGCTACGCTACTGGCGGACACTGATAAAAGTATATATTTCCTATGTCACTTCTGTTTCGTTCGAGGGCGGGGGGGGGGGGGGTGGTGTAGACATTCGAAAGAGCAAGCGTAAATCTAAAACTGTATTTGTTACCCAAAGGCGGATGCGATAGTCTGCTCTATAATGAGAGATAAACAAATGAGGAACTGTGAGATAGCCAGGTATCTGAAGAAGAAGACAGGGGCTAGCGTACAGGACATTCTGGATCAGGTGAGAGCTATAAATAGAAATCTGAAAGTGGTTTGAGAAGTGGGGGACGGTGGGAGTTCTTTTATTTTTTTTAAACTAACAGCTCGGCAAAAAGGAATGATAACAAAAAAAAAACCAACGTAAACAGAGGAATTTCCGAGCATGGTAGCTTCATTTTTCAATGTTATTTCAATATGCTATTCTATTCCAACATAGTTTTAATTAAGCTGTATTGGAGGACCTCTTTTTTTCTTCTTGATAGTCGACTACAGACTAAGAATGGACAGATAACAATTTTTAGAGCTACTATTATCGGGTTTTAAAGCAAAAATTTTAGTCGTAGGTGGTGTCAACCTCATGTAGAACGAATTACTCAAGATTGGGAAAAAAAAAATAGGGAAACTTTATAATAATATGCTTTTGAATGCACGGAAAAATTAAAATAAAACTAACTATACACGTGTTTGTTTTATTATAGTAAAAATGTTTAACAAGAAACTTTTTTAAAAAGATAGTTTTGAAAACTGTACATGAGGATAATATATTACTTTTCATAGGGAGTTCAATAATAGGTTTATTTTTTTTTAACATAATATAAAACCTTTGTTCAATTTTCATCATTGGGCGCCCAGCTTTTTATTTTTAGTCATACCAGCATAATATAACTTTAGTTAAGTTACACCAAACTAAATTTTTTTTTAATTTATTAATAAATATTCCTCATTTGTGATTTTTACTTTTTCGTATACGAAGTATAGAGAAAGTATTGTAATCCTGCAAAAAAAAAAAAAAAATCGAGATGTTTGCAAATCTCGACTTTCTACACCTCCCTGAGTCGGAATACATAGTTTTGCAATCTTGTCTGTATGTCTGTTTGTAGGTGCGTCTCTGTGTGTGTGTGTTTCTGTAAGCAAGATAACTTGAGTACCGTTACAGCTTTGTTGATGAAATTTCATATATAAGTATTGTATCAAATGTGTAGAACCATATCAACTTTTAAGCAATTTCTGATAACCGGAAGTGGAACTTTTTCTACTTCAGTGTTTTAACTGTTAAGATAAATAAATGAAATTTCACATGTACGTAAAAAATGTAACTATCTGCCTTCTATCAAATTTTGAGTAATTTCCGTTGACTAGAAGTACTAATTTACGCTATTTCCGATTTCTCAAACAAACGCTTGTAAATTTATAAAATACTAATTATATTCCGCACTATTATGCACATTTTGCTTTGCATTCGCTTGGTGCGCAATTCTTTTTTCTACGAGATTTTATTCTATTTTGAAAAGCTTAAGTAATTAAAAAACATGTCTATATCCCGCGTTGCCATCCCACGTGGTGTTTTATAAAAGAATATTCGAAAAAGTTTATTGGAAAAATAACTCCCGGTTT